CGGCATTCTATTTCACCGCAAAGTATGGTAATCGAGGATAGATGATAATGCTCACTTCCTTTCTGGGTCTAACAAACAGTAATCTCACTGTCTGCATTCCTTACCACCGCTCCAAGAGGTTACAAGGTACTTTTTACAAAACATGTAACAGCTAAATCTGAAAGGACTAAACCTCAGGAATACGGTTTGAATCACCGTTATTTTGCAGTGTCTGGTGAAGGGTCCGGAGCACAATGCCTTGGGGAGATATTTGCAGGGGTTGCTTTGGATTGGTTATGGCTTATTGGCAAGAAGAATGCCTTCTGCTCAAATAATCTCTTCACCTGAAACTTCACTTGCAAGAGTAAAGAAAAGACAGAACACAGATTCATTTTCTTGAGCTGTTATGGACCAAAGATTACATGCAACCATCATATTCTCGAATTAGAGAATAGCCAAAACGCTTTCTATTGAATCAGGGGGTGATTCTTTAAATCAGTAAAACCATGTAAAATATATGGAAAATTTACCACAAAAAAAAATGACACTCACTGTACTGTAACACTGTTTGATCAAACCCTAATATCCTGAAAAATGTATTCAGGTCCCTCCCTGCGTTACTGAAGAGCTTTGAATGACAATGTGAATGGTTTTGTTTTGTTTTTCATTTAACATTCTCTCGCTTGCAACTGAATTAGGGTTACAAGAAAAACAAGAGAACGCCCCAGAAGAAGAATACAAGAATCTCACCTGGTTAGATCAGTGTACCTTTAGCTACTTCGATGAAGTGGTTGAATCCGAAGAAGAAGTGAGCTGGCGTATTTCCTTTATGGCCTCGCTGATTTTATGGATAGCCATTTTCTTCACCTGCATTTTCGCATCGCTTGTTTCGTCAATATAACTCCTTTGTTCTGGGTCTCTCTTAAACTAGGAATTCGATAACATCAATTTGCTTACCTCAATCTCTGGTCCTTTTGCTTTATGGTGATGTTGAAGAAGACATTGTTCCTCTGCTCTTCGGATGGATGCGTTAACGTGTTCAGGCGAGACAAAGTTCAGCTCCACATTGACACAAGACTGTCATGAATGTGGGAAGATGCATTAGAAGAGGAAAAACAAACTCGGAGAAAAAACTGTATGTCAAGTGAAAGAAGGCAGATCAAAGAAATGACAGATTGAGAATGTTCAAGGATATGTCTCGTAACGGGTTTAGCATGCAGCACCTTAACTTTCCTTATCTGATATGGACATCCAGCAGGGATGATCACTGCTTCCCCGACATGTTGGTCAAAAGTCCAAGGCTCAATTTCTGGAAAATAAAACCAGCGTGAGTTTCATAATTGTGTTACGTAAAGTTTGGAGAATTCTAGAAATGAGGGCAATGCTTACCAAATTCCTCCCTTAGCTGTTTTTTGTGATATGCATCGAGATAGTAACTCCGATCAAGGGGTGGATGACTCACCTGGAAGAATGACATTAGCATTGGAAGCTCAACTGTCCTCTTGTAATAAAGTTAAATCATCGTTCCCGACTTACTTTCTTGTGAGAGTGCTTCTTAAGATACTCCATTAATTTCGGAACATCTTGTCTCCGGAAGATATCCCACTGGACACCATAGGAGCTGCCTAAATCTTCTTCACAGGAATTGTTGCCGTTTTCTCGTCGGGGCCCCTGAATCTGCCTGTCTTCATATTCTGAATCAGAGCCCGAATGGTAATCCGACTGATCGTCCCCACTATATGAAGCTTCTCTATCCTTATGGCCCAGATCACATCTTTCAGTTGCAAACCCAGATTGTTTCTTTGCTCTTTGTATCCTGCTCTTGCTGTTCTCTCCATATTTATCAGATCCCAATTTATCGATACTAATCATATTATCATTTACCATCTTGGATGCATCCCTTTCCTTATTCATCACCTCATCTTGAGCATTTTTCCTTTTCATAAGTTTTCTTATCCTACAGATCTCCTTTGTGGATACCCAGGCTTCTGTGACATGCAACAGAATATCAACCTGCGCAACAAATCAAGACAGCAAGACAAATTACAAGTAGATCTAAAAGCGTTTAAGAGCAAAGTCAACAAAACGTTTATCTGAACGTCTGGGTATTCTGTTTTGCATCTTTAGCTGAACTTGCATCAGACAGTATGTTTATGGTATGATTCATAACTAGTAGCATCAGACATACGTATGTTTATGGTATGATTCAAAACAAATCAAACAGCCCATTTTCTGTAGGAAACAACAGAATCAGAATAATTGATTAATTTGGTTGTCCAACAGCAATAATTCCGTATTCGCAAATGTGCAAGACTAGTAATATAGGAGTGAGATAAAAGTCCAATGATTGATATGAATCCATGCTATATAAACTTGGACAAGCAAAATGAGTAAACCTATATAGGAATGGAAAGCTTTTAAGAAAACATACCTTATCACAAAGTTCAAAACCTAACTTTTTCAAGGAATCAGGCTGGACGAATTCCTCACCACTCCTGTAGTAAATATTGAGGCATGGACCTAGATCAGGCGTTTGGATTTCAAAGGGTAGTTTGGCAGCAATATTTAATAGACCACATTCCGGATCCATGTAATGGGGAATTGGTAGAATATTCAACACTTCAGCGTAATGAGCGGGGAACTGTTCTTCAAACAACCGGGATGGAACCCGACCTTGCAGCTTCAACTTCTCTTGACATGTATTGGTCTCAGCTCTTCCTCTCAAAGATCCCAAAAATAATTGCCGAACCCCAATATCTATCTGTCATTGGGAGAGAAGCTATTTTAGAGAGTAGGGCATCAAAATCGCAAACCAGACGTGTAAACACAGTTCCAGGATAAGAAGAAACAAAACAAGCAAATAAAACAAAACCTAAACGATCAAACATAAATACAATCACAGGAACAAGCCACTAACCTCAAACCAGTCCGAACAATCGGAAGTTTTATCTGCTTCATCGTTCTGAGAGTTGCTATTACTGTTCTGAAGATAAGCACAGAACATAGCTACTGGATCCCAGTCCAAGTCATACGCACCCTTTATTACATTCTGAACTATTACTGGTTGACCTTGACTCCAGTGCGTCTGAAAATGTTCAAGACTGTTGTTGTTAAAATCTGTCATGATGGGGTAATACAGAAAGTTTCCACTCATGTCTTCTCTTCTAGCTGCTTCTTTCAAGTGCTTGACCTTTCCAGATTCCTCTTCCGTCCCACGACAAAATGAACAGCCAGAGGATTTGTCTAAGATTTCTGGCAACTCATAACAACTGACTATTTCCTCTGCACTAGTCTCTAGCTTCATTGTCAAAGTACGAAGGTCATTACCAAACCCACTGGCTTCTCTGTCTATGCAGGATAATTCACCACTGACATCAGGGGACTCATGACGAAGCAATTCTTCGCTAGAACTATGTCCAAGTTCACAATCTCGTGGGCGTTCCTTTGGAGATTGATTCCTAGCAATGAGCAAAGCCGGTAGTCTATCATTTGAGCATTTCAGAATAATTGATCTAGTCTTTATCGGTGAGCTCCCTTGGTTCTGATCCTTGTCACAATGGCAGCCTCCGTGCAGACCTGCTATGGCAGCGTTGCAATAGCTACTGCTACGACAATTATTGATGCATGCATCAAAGACAAAATAAAAACAAATTAGATAACGCCTGGTTGGTATACATATCAGCATTTAAGAGCAGCTGGAAATGCTAAAGCAGCAGAATGTGCACCAGTGATGTCGTTCATCAGAGCTCTGGATGTGAAGTTCAGCTGGATTCCGTCCTGCGATGCGATGAAAAAAATCAGAAGATTTCATATGAGCTTTAATTTATTTCTCTTTCCGTTATCTTATGGGGATGAGAGAAATGAGTTTCAACCCCAAGCAGAAACCAGTGGACCCAGAAAAGGAAAGGTCTGAGAAAGAGTCTAATAATCGAGATCGTTGCCCTAAACACGCAAACTAGCTTAGATAGAAAGATTAATCATAGAAAGCCAAAATAAAGGATTCATAAAAAAACAAAAAGCTATCCATACCTTTCATTTCTGCTTCTCTTTCCAGCTCCGTTTTGTGTTCTGCGTTTATTTGTTTGAGTACTGGAAGAAGCATGCATATCAGATAATGTAGATGGAGAACTCTGTCGATTTCACTCCTGGTGATCAGAACGTCCTGGACAACGTTATGAAAAGTGTGTTTAACAAGGTCCAAGATACAAAACATAATATTATAGACTTAGGGCTTGTCAGATATTCAGACCTTACATTGGGTGACTCCAGACATAGTGACTGAACAGGCTTTGCACCCACATGATCCACGGCATATAGGACATTCTCTCTCGACTTCTTTTCTCGATCCAGCATTCCTGAATCAGTACAAAAGAATTCCGTGAATGAAGTCCAAACATTTAAACCACTCAATTACAATATTGGGTGTAGATAAAGCACAGGGGAAGGCTCCTTAGAAGCCGAAAAAAAAATCTACAACTGCCGTACAAGGTAATGAAGTTACTATTATAGCGAAAGGATGACGTCCTTCCGCGTTTTGGAAAGTCGGCACATAATACATATAAATCTAGTGTGATGTCAGATTTATAACCTATCAATTCTAAAGCTAGATGCAAATGCAAAACCTTAATGATACCATCATCAAGAAAAGAACAGCTTTCACAAGCAACATCAATAATCCACATCAATTAAGGGACACAAACAAGGGGAACAAAATTTCATCCGAGGCAAAACATGGCAAGGTAAATGAAGATACCTTTTTCCTATACAATCTAAGCAAAAGAACTCTCTTTTACAATTTAAGCAACAGATCAAATTCCCAAATCCGTTTCTTCCACACCAATGGCACCTCTTCTTCTTCTCCTTCCTGGCATTAACCAAGTTCTCCTTGAAAGGCACCACCTTTGCATCAATCGCAGGAAACAAAAACAATTACTACAATGATATTCTCAGGTTCAGCTTTGACAAGTATTGTGGGAAAGTACACTGATGGGCATACCCCAATGAGTTTTGGCTCAATAAATAAAATTTTGAGCTTATACCTGCATCTTGCCAACAGGAAATGGCTCAATGTTCTTGGACCTAAATCTTCTTCTGCTCACTGAAATTGGTTCCGCACCCACTTTTACATCACATGAAGAAGCTGCATTGCTTGTGTTTGGAGAAGATGAAGAAATTGCCATAACGCCATAAGGTAGAAACCTCATCAGGTCTTCGTCAGAACCCTCGGAATCATCGAATTCTCTGTTACTTTCCTTTTTATTCATCTTCTTCTTCTTGTTCGGCTTTTTCATCTTCTCCACTTCCCTCTTCAACACCATCCTTATCAAGTCCAGCCGAGCATCCCCTCTCTTCAACTTCATCTTTCTCACGGCCTCGTCCACGGCCTCGGCCTCACCCATCACTCGCTTCCTCTTCGACGCTTTCCCCGATTTACCCGATCTCCGTGCCCTAATTCCGCTGGTTAACTCAGTCCCCGACGCTTCCGCGACGTTCTTCGATCTGACGAGCTTCAGCGACTCCGGCACTTTCTGTTTGTGTTGCCTCAGATTGAGCTGCAAGTGGTGAATTTCGCACATCTTCCTCCCCTCCATGGCCCGTCTCTTGCACCGCCATTTCCGGCCGTCGGAGCGGTTGCATCGGAGATCGTCGGGGACGGCCTCCGTCTCCGGCATTCGCAAAAACGGTCAGGCTCACCGGTAAATCCTCGGTCGTGGCGAAAACTCGCGAGTTCTCGGGGAAAGCAAGAGAATTCGAACGCCGTACGTCTGGTTAGAGAGAGAGGGATGGTCGACACTCCGGGAGAGAGGAGGAGAGAGAATAACAGTGAAGAAGTGGCAATTGAGGTAATTATAGGAAGAACGAGAGCCCTTTTAGGCAACTTAAAAAATAGCAAGCAATCACAGAAATCCGGCATTCGCAAAAACGGTCAGGCTCACCGGTAAATCCTCGGTCGTGGCGAAAACTCGCGAGTTCTCGGGGAAAGCAAGAGAATTCGAACGCCGTACGTCTGGTTAGAGAGAGAGGGATGGTCGACACTCCGGGAGAGAGGAGGAGAGAGAATAACAGTGAAGAAGTGGCAATTGAGGTAATTATAGGAAGAACGAGAGCCCTTTTAGGCAACTTAAAAAATAGCAAGCAATCACAGAAATGGAGACAGGATCTTCTTCAGTTTTTCAGTTACCTTCCTCGGCATTTTTCCTTTTCTCCTCCTCATTCTTTTTCAACTTAAATATTTTTTTTTTATTTTTTCCTAATCTTTTATTATTATTATTATTATTTTTGGGCCAATGGTTTTGTTTTTGCATAATCTGGACCAATTTATTTCAAATGGGTACCTTTTTTATGCCATCCAATACTAAATAAATAAATCTGCACATTGAATATTATAATTGTAATTACGTTGAATTAGACACCAAACAGCTAAAAATTCCCAAACTTTTCATAACCACGAAGAGATTCATCACAATCGCATATTTTTCAATTTTATTTAATTTATTAGAGAAAAAAAACTATGAAAATTTACCTTGAACAATGCATATGTGAATGACGTTCCGAAAGATCGGAAAACATAATTGAGTGTAGCGTTGGCGTAAACTTGTATATATATACACATATATGTGTGTATATATATATATGAATCTGGAAAGTTTCATCAACGCTGCACTCAATGATGTTTTTTCCGATCCGGAAAATATTTTGGGATTCCATCTTCTCATGAAACGGCAATGTAATGGTGAGTTCATATCTTAGATATATATATTGAAGCAGTACAATGGATTATGACTCCGATTTAGATATTTTTTTTGGTACTAACTTGTCTATGTGTTTGATGGTACTACACTACCGTACTTTAACATTATTAGGGGTCCCAATCCAAATTTCCAAATTGTTTTGTTCATTTTGATGTAGAGTGTATATATATATATATAATTTCAATATGACTAATCATGCTTTTGGGTTTGTTACTGTTCAAAGCATTAATTTATTATCACCGAAGTCATACTTTATATTACACTTTTGCCAATATATATACACACATAAGCCCATCATGTTTTATAACAGAGTTTATCGGTGGCCGTCAAAATTTCATTAATGATGAACAAAAGTTTGTAAAATAATAATAGTAATAATAATAATAATGTATATTACCACCAAAAAAAAAATATGGCTTTGGTGGGCTTTGTACTAGATTCATGTTCGTGTTGTACTGCATGATGGCATCTCCTGTCCAACGACGTCGTTTTGGAACCGCACGTGTCCAGCACGACAATTAAGTAATGGGCCAGGTTCCTCGGCCCAATACGTACCCAAACCCAAATGGTTGAGGATATTTATTATTAGCATATTGTTTTTTTCTGACATAAACATAAACAAAATCCGACATGGAGATGCATATTTTATTTTTTAAGAATTTAACAAAAAGTATGAAAATTAATTTTAATTATCTCTACATGAGAATTTTCTGTTTTTACTTAAATAAAATATTTAAACCGTCGTAACAAGAAATTAATTAATACAATAGTGTATATATAAAGATGTGTTGTTGCCATAATCTTGTATAAACATTTTGTCTCGTCAATATGGAAATGTTATTAGATATTGATGACGCGATACATACATATACCAAAAGGGTGTTTTACAAACGTTTGTTGACTAAAAGAAATAAATTAAAGGTATGCCAAATATTTCTACATTGCATATTGCAAGTGGGTTGGAAATTAAATAAATCCAACCATGACTTCCTCAATGGTCAAACAAAAAAGTTAACCATCATGACATTATTAGGTTTAAAAGGTGAACGCCAACTTTAACATTGTACCCCAAAATAAAATAATAATAATAATCAACATGCATTCATACTAATGATGATATGGCGCCAAAAAAGATAATAAATGAAAAAAAAATATAAGATTCAAGGTTTTTTTTATGCATCCATATACTTATTGTTGTTGTTTTTTTTATGAGGAATAGATATGCCACATGTGATAATTACATGTATATCTCAAAATTATAAAGCTTTTTTTTAATCAAATATGAAATCATAAGAGGTCCACAAAATGCAAAAAAAAAAAAAAAAAGAGAGAGAGAGAGAGAGACATATATCCACTTTGGAGTGTGTATATATAAAGAAGGACTTTTTAGAAGTACGAGTATTTTTCAATTGGGCGGCTGTGACTAATTTGTCAATGCGTGCCTTAGTCGGTAATCGATCGAAAGCCCAAGACGTATTTCACTTTGTTCTTTTTGGTGATCTTTTTCTCTCCTTTTTTCCTTCTAGAACCATTACTACTGATTTAATTTAGTGAAAATTTGTTTCATTATCTGTATTAATAACGTCATATTCATTATAAGATTGAGTTTTATTTTTTAATCCCAAATGTACAATTATATATATATGTGTGTGTGATTGTTGGGAGGGAGACATCCGAATTCCGAAACCCTAAAACTCGCACAATCTAGAAACGCATCAGCAATCACTGTTACTGTTTTCAAGAATCGTATTAGTGGACTGTCACTTGTTGACGTGGACTTTCTATTTATTATGTTTATTACATGTAGGATTTCCGTTTTTTTGCCACTTAGAATTTTTCGTTTGTCCACCTGGCATTTTTTACGAGGGGGTTAATTTGACCACAAATTAAAAAGTACAGGAATATTTTGGAAAAAATGTAATTGTATAGGTTTTTTAAGAACCAAAAATAAGTACAGGGTTTAAATTGTGACAAAATAAAAGTACAGATTTTTTTTGGCCATTTACACTTAAAAAAATAATAAGTTAATTAATGATGTAATTTCCATTATATTAATATCTTTTTCTTTGTTTTTGTTTTTGAGATGTTAGGCAAATTTCCCCTGTCTTATAAACTCTAAATTCTAAACCTATACCTGCATACAATACCTTTTTCAAGGCAAATCCATGGACTAAAATTATTACACAAATCGTCTATAGTAGTTCATGATTTTGGCATAAAACACGTCAAAAATATGTAGCGTATTTTACTTTAATAATAAAAATTGTTATTCTAAATCGTATACCTTTAGACTCGGATATTAACAACTAAACTAAATTTAATCGAATAACGCATCATCACATCCATATCAATTTTAATTTAAAACAAATTAAACGGGTGTAAAAAAGTTTAAAAAATGAACAAATTATTTTAAAAAAATTAATATTTCTATTTTTAAAAATGAATTCAAATAAATAAAATCCGTATCTAAAAAATTTGACATAAAACTGAATAAATAACACTTTATAAAATTAGAAACTAAACAATAAAAAAATAATCCATATAGTCTTCCTCTATCGTTGTCAACGGCTTGTGCTTGAAAACACGAGACACCGATGCTAAATAAATAAATAAATAAATATATATATATATATATATATTGTAATAAAAAAATTAAAAACAATAATTAGATAGATTAGTTTTGACGTATAAATGACGTACGGGATACGTAGTCGCTGACCATGAATAAAACCCATGGAAGCTTCCGACCGTACGGATCATAATATCTATCCACTTTCGGCAAAATTTAATTTTGTTTCTCGCATTTATTGTTGGTTTTATGGATAATTTTGACTCATTGATTAGTTCATGCTATTGCCGACTTGATAATGATGACCCGCAAAAGTCCCTTTTTTCCTATATTGCATGAATTCGTACGTTGAATTGTAGTATTCTGTGAAGATTCTGTGAATTATAAAAACTTCCGTGGTTAGATATATGAAACCAAACTTGTAATTTATATAAAACCTCAGCAGTATTTTGGAAATTTTCTGTAACCATTGTTGATTTATATGTTCATATTCCAAATCAAGGGAATTTTTTTTTTTTTATAAAAGGAATAGATTTATCTAGAAATAGAGATAGATACATGGACTTGCCAATAGTATTATAGTATATGTGATATGATATAGAGTAATTGACTTCAATATCATAGTACGGCTTGATATATATATATATATATATATATATCATATATGTGCAATATGTGTGTAATTGGTCATTTGACAATGGCTCGAATCCAAAACGATATATATATAACATGTAGACGTATATAGTCGACCTAACAAAAATGGTAAAACCTAGGGAACGTGTAAACGCGATCAAAGTTGAACCACAGAGACAAAAACATGAACCGATATATCCAAACTCTGACTCAAAAGTTTATATTAAAAAAAAAAAAAGACGACGTACGATAAAAACGCGTGTGGATTTGACATGAACAGATCAAATTCCCAAATCCGTTTCTTCCACACCAATGGCACCTCTTCTTCTTCTCCTTCCTGGCATTAACCAAGTTCTCCTTGAAAGGCACCACCTTTGCATCAATCGCAGGAAACAAAAACAATTACTACAATGATATTCTCAGGTTCAGCTTTGACAAGTATTGTGGGAAAGTACACTGATGGGCATACCCCAATGAGTTTTGGCTCAATAAATAAAATTTTGAGCTTATACCTGCATCTTGCCAACAGGAAATGGCTCAATGTTCTTGGACCTAAATCTTCTTCTGCTCACTGAAATTGGTTCCGCACCCACTTTTACATCACATGAACATAACATGCACACACATTGCATATAAATCGGATCATGCAAAACAAGGTTTGCCTTTCTGGCCGTAACTCTCTTTCTTTGTTTTTTTTTTGCAGACACGCAGACATCCATTACTCCACCGCCCATGCATTTTCTTGCATGTCTGAAACTCCTTTATTTCTAACGTCTTGTTTTGTCTTTATATAATAATAATAATAATAATAATAATAATAATAATAATAATAATATGTATCTCACTTCTTTTGAAGTTCCAATATTGCTATTTTACGTAATAAACGAATTTCAACTTTTGGGAACAACGAATGAAAACTGTTTGAAACACGTGTTTTTTTTTTCCACCCCCGCAACCCCAAAAAAATCATTGTTCGTTTGGTATATATGGTGATGAGACGACGGATATTAACAATTTATGATTGCGCACACAAAATTAATACTAATTTTATACGAATTAATTTAAATGATTAAAGTGATATAGTGCAAAACTCCTATCATTACCCGTCGTGCATGGTTTATCAATGTACATGTAAATATATATTGCGTTTTTATCAAATATATATATATATATATATTGCGTTTTGTCAAATGCAGCATTTATTGATATGATGTTCTCAAATTATGCAATGCGTGTTCGTACAGTATTATTTTTTAAAACTATGAGGTAAGAGATTGTTTGTTGGGATGTCTGTTTGCAAGGGAGTTAATTGGAAATTATAATACTACATAGATAGAAGTTTTAGAATCTATAGTAAATATTTTTTTTGATGAAAATCTACAGTAAATATAAATTATAAATAAATAACATATTTCATAAAAAGAGTCGTCATATCAATATACAACATTTTATAGTCGAAACATAAATAGCATATTTTACCATTAGCAAAACAAACATATTTTAGAAAATATAGACAGTTTATTTATCGTAATATATTTCACAGGTAAAAATCACGTCATCCAATTTTAATTTTAAAGTATTTTTTTAAGACAACATGGACAGCTCATCCCAAAAAAACACGCAAGGGGGGCCCACATGGCTTTGTTCCACGCGTCCACAGCATTAGATGGCGCGTGACAGAGAGCCACGTGTAAAAGGGACAAAAACCCTACGCCGTGATTTCAATAAAAGCGACCGTTTTTTCATATATTTTTATTTCCGATTTTGTCCCTACATGCCAAGTCACCATTTACTACGTGGACAAGTGTCGTCCGCTCACTCGTATCTTCTCCATATCCCCATGCAAAATATCCTTTCTTTTCGGCACGTAAATATGATGACACGTGTCATGCCCACGTGCGCGCTCCGGCCAACCTTGCCCGCTCCGGTTGCCGGATCTTTTCCTCGTGTGGTCTTTGTAAGTTTCCAAATTTTAATCTCATCTTCAATCATGTTATTAGAAAACATTGTTACACTATTTTATGATTGATTTGTCGCCAACAGTTCTCAAGCAAACTGTAAGAGAAAATGCTTGATTTGACTATTTAGACATATAATTCATTTATATGTTTTTGTATCCTTAATTAAAATATCAAGTTAAAGTGTTGGAGAAAATGCTTCATTAAGTTTTTATCAAGTAACGAATTGTTAAATATTAACTTATTCTAGTTTAAAAAAAAACATCTTGAACCAATATTGATGTCTTTTGACACAAACTCATTTTCGTATAATTAGTTGTAAGAAACGTTGGTCCATCATATTAGTTATTAGAATATTAGAAAATGAAAATCTTTCGTACATATGTTTATAAATTATAGGTCATGCACATGCATTTACTGAGAATAATTTAAGAGATAACATAAATATGTTGTATAGGATAGTATGATTTAAGATATTAAACTATAAAATCGTTTGATGAATCATTCGGACTATATATTGTTTACGGCCGATACGTTTTTTTTTCCCGCTAACTCCTTTAGGGAAACAAACATGAGTCAATGATGCAATTATAACTATGTATTTTACTGTCCATTTCGGGAAAATTCAGCACCTCATATCAATTCTATATCTTTAAGCCAATATAATATAATATAATAAGATACAATCACTATGCATATAAGGAAATACATAAAAGAAAACCGACCAAAAAGAAATATTAAAGAAAAGAGTGGATATCAATAATGGAAACTCACCACCATTAAAAAATGTCATGAGACATTGTTTAATGGATGGGATGGACGTTGCTTTCGCGTCTTGAATAATTAATTAATCTTGTGGAGATGAAATTAGGATAGAATACACAATAAGAAATAATATCTTGCGTGTAACCAAATCCAAGAACAATAATAACAAATAAAAAACAAAGGAGGATTTTTTTTTTGTTGAAAAAGTCTACCCCATTTTCTAGAAATTACATGAAATTATTAACGTCCCAAAAATCTGGGATTTCAAACGTCGCGAGATTACTGCAGCCACTCTCCTTTTCATCTTCAGTACTGCAGCTGCTACTGTTGATGTAGGTTGAACTCGAGGAAGGTGTCGTTAAGACAGAAGCGAAGTTGAATGTTTGGTCGGAATAGCACGAAGGATCTAACAAGGCACCTGAACTCGAGTAATCGTAGCTCGACGGCAATGGAGGCATACAATCTCGTGACATATTCGAAGGAACTTCATTACAACGCCATTGATGAGAGCTTTCTTCCACAAATCCCGAGGTGAAGCAAGCAGGAGGGTCCATGCAAGATTCGAGTTCTTGAATCGTGTTCTGAAGTGGATCGGTCTGAAGCGTCGTCTGGTACTGGTTCAACATCGTTTTGCTGTCGGAAACCTCGTTCTCTCGAGTCTCTTGGACCAGGAAGCTTCGGTTCTGGTTATTGTTTAGGGTTTGGGATGAGAAGAGGGAGTTCGCGAGCCTGAGAATTTCTGGGTTAACCAGAGGTTGAATTCCCATGAAGAAGCTCGCCATGTTCATCTGGTGGGAAGAATCGTAGAGAGACGACCTGAGGATGGAGGAGATGTCGAGGAGGTCGAGGCGTGGACTGTGCGTGACGGGATCGATCCCCATTCTAAGAAGCTTTTTCCTGATGTGCGTGTTCCAGTAATTCTTGATCTCGTTGTCGGTTCGTCCTGGTAACCGAGCCGCAATAGCAGACCACCTATCAAAACCGACCAAGAAATAATTAGCACATGTCACAATCTTGAGACACAGAAAGAAAATCCAAATATCATATGCGTATATACAGTGTATTTGAGAGGAGAGAAGAAAGGGAAAAGACACGTACTTGTTTCCCAATATACTGTGAAGTTGAATGATAGTTTCTTCTTCCTCGAACGAGAACCGGCCTCGCTTTATGTCTGGTCGGAGATAGTTCGTCCACCTGAGCCGGCAACTCTTGCCACATCTCTGCAAACCTGCAAAAATCAACACGAAATGGAATTTTTTTTTAAAAAAAAAGAAAGATTGTAACCCATCATTCAGAAACATGAAATGAATGACCATGAAAATATTGGTTAAGAAAATACAGAAGAAGAAGGGGGGAGGAGACAAACCGGCATTCTTGGGGAGGGTTCTCCAGTTGCCATAGCCATGTTGCTGAATATAATCGACGAGTTTCTGATCTTCCTCAGGTGTCCATGGCCCTTTCTTCAGCCCATTCTTCTCGCAACAAGGCGATCTTCCCATTTTTTTGATTTTATAAAACAATTAACGAATTCGTCAATCGATTAGTGAAGATTTTTTTTTTAAAAACTTTATATAGAGAGAGAGAGTATATTTATATTGAGAGCGCAAGGAGAAGCAGTTGATATATATAGAGGAAGGAGAGATGAGGAGACCAAAAAAAAAAAAAAAAGAGGAAGGTCAAAATGATTCGGTGCCGTCCTCTGTTCCTCGATTGGGCTACGTGTCCTTCGCATCCCAATGTATATGCATGCTTTTACATGTATGTATACATAAATATATATATTCATATCTTACATTTATAATCGCAGCATGGAAATTAGTACAATGGGTTGTGAATCAAGAGCTTAGCATAATGTGACGGTTTTGTAAATAATTTAATATAATATATATATAGAGACACGTTTATATATATATATATATATATAGTATATGATAAAGTGTTATGACTATCCCGGGGGGTGAGGAGTGCCGCTCTCTAAAGCTTCGGGGTTTTCACATTAGCTGTCGCCAACATTAAGAAGCCACGTAACCCCTTCCTCTCCTTTCAACTCTCTCTCCTGTTTTCCATTTTTCTTTGGACTTTTTGTTCGTCTTCTAAAAAGAAGAAAAACAATGTATTTATTTAAACGGTTTTGATTCAAATATATAAGATTAAGTTAAAATTATCTGAATAATATGTAATCATGATTTAATCGATTTCTATTTTTTTAAAATTAAATTAAGTGAAAACCGGATTGTTATTTATAAATTTTCTTTTGTAGTTATTGTATATATAATGTGTTTTCTATTATTATTATTTTTCTTCTCCTGTCTTTATAGATAAATCACGACGAGTTAATGATGTAAATGATAACTTAAGAACGATGATAAGGGACCCTTGTAGGCCATAGGACCAATTGTTGCATTTTGGTTTTCACTAAATAGACTGTCCAAGGGACAAAGTCAATTTTACTATTTTATTGAAATGAAATTTTGAGAGAGAGAGCGCATTTAATTCGAAGGAGCAATAATAGAGTTTGGTATTTGCCAAAATTTAGAAAACATTGATTATAGAGATTGCGATAGTCAAAAATAAAATTACTTTAAAAAAACAACATTATCCTCCAATAGATTCTCGAGTGTATGCAAAGTTGGACACCATAGATGTTCCTCTCTCTCTCTCTCTCTCTCTCTCTCTCTTTCTATATATATATATATACACACACATACATACATATATATATCAAACAAAGACCAATGTTTTGGACCCATATAGACTTTTTTTTCTGTTTAAGATTTGAATATGATTGTGAAGCTTCCAATTATAAAGTTGTATTTGAGATCTTCCTGTGGTTGAAATTTAATGTACACACGCACATATACATATACATATACATATACATATACATATACATATACATATACATATAGAGAGAGAGAGACATGCATGATAAATAACACGTCAACTCTTTCTGTTGTCGTCTTGAGGTAAAAACAGGATTTACGTACGTGGTGAAGGGACGATCATGGGTTTGACTTTTGACCTAATCAAGAATAGTATAGTTGTCTCTTACTCTCTCTAAGCCTTCTCCAATGAATTCACGCACTTAAATTAAAAAAAAAAGAATTGTTGAGTTTTTTTTTAACCGGATGTCCCGAACCGAAGTCCAGACTATTCCCAAAAATGAAGACAAACTATATGAATGAAATTACATGTTCTTCCCCAATTTAAAAATCGAACTCAAGACGGAACAAACGTTTTGCATTTTCAATCATTTCATCGATCGAGTTATCTAAATTGGATTTAATTACTAGGTTATTCGGATTAATATTCATATTAATAGTCCAGAGCGATTTTATTATATAGATCGTCATTTGTTGACAACTATATATACACACACATATAATATGATGAAAAAAATATTCAAATAATTTCAATATGTGCAAATATTAAAAATATTGAGAGAGAGAGAGCTCTCGGCTCGGCTGAGCCTGAAGTCGCACGCTTCAGAGAGGCAGCTAGGCGTGAGAAAGGCTAACGTCACGTGCTGATGTGGGGGTAATATCGTCATTTCATATAAAATACACAAAAATGGTGATTGGTACATTTTTTCTCGTGTTATACTGTTTCACCATTTTCCACATTTCTCATAGCCATATAAATCATTATATTATTATATAATTGTATATTATTATATATTTAAGTATGTTTACTTCGTCCACTGCGTTCCCGAAAAGCCAAGGTTGTGATATTTTATCTCGAGAAAATATGTTTGGTATAACAAAAATAATATTATATATTATTTTTAGTTTTGAAAATATTTAGATTATATTAGGCTCATATGCTTTTGTCCCGGTTTGGTTTTATTTGAATTCGTGAGCATTAGTATTAATTTATTACTTTTTTTTTGCTTTGTTGCTCTCCACATTTTTCTACTTAAATACCGAGTTTTATTTTTTTAATGCAAACAAACAAAATTATTTCATATATTTTTATTTTTCATTTTTTATTCAACTTAATATCATAACAAAAATGATTCTATGTATGATTTTAATTTTTAACTCATCTTTTCATTTTTTTTTTAAATTTTATACCACAAATGCCATGTTACATATATTACAAATTAAGGGGTTAATTAATTTCTTTATATGAGAAAATTGCGATTAATTAATTAGCACTGAGTAATAGTCGTATCGCTTTCAAATTAAGGGGTTAATACATTATACTGCAATCACATAATGTCAAGTCTCAAGAAGTAATTAAAGACTATATGCACATTCATATATATATATATATATATATATATATGTATATATACTTTTGAAGATCTAGAATATCGCGGAATTGTTGCTAAATTATTACGATCTTTACACAATATTATAACCCAATAATCAATTTTATTATATAGTTAATAATACGAATGACGGACCAAAAATATAAGGAGGTGATGTCTCGGCGCTTGCGATAGGGGAGACACAGTCGGGTCCAACAACTAGTGAGAACGTCACAAAGTGTGAAATCATGTAAATAATCATATAATATTAAGTATAGTTAGTGACAAATCATACATATATATATATATATATATTAAATTATGAGGTATGCTATATATAGTGTATTTACCTGTCACAAATCCAGGGCTTGCTTGCGCACGGAATTGCCAGAACTAGTAGCCTACGTGTCACTGCAGTTGACCAAATCTGATTAGTTAATAATATTTGTAAAATAATACAATTGTTAATTATACCAAAATAATAAAGTATGAAAGAAGATATCATTTTATCAGAGATATATACGAATTTGCGATATTTTATGGGATATATATTATAGATATATTTTCGTTATAAATATATTTTGCGATATTTTATGGGATATATATCATCATTATACATATTGCTGTCGTATTGTTTGTCGTATTGTTTGAGTTATTATTCTATTAGAAAGTGGTCTATTTTTGGTGATTCGTCGATGATTAGAAGTACATACATACATACATACACACACACACACACACACATATATATACATACATACATACATACATACATACATACATACATACATACATACATACATACATACACACACTATTATTAAAATCTCAATTGAGAACATCCTAGAAAGAGAATTTGTCACAGTTTCCTCCCTCCATTACAAATGGGAAGAGTGTGTATATTGTAAATTTCTATATCCCCCGGCCGGGGGAGGGGAGGATATTAAATTTCATAAATGGAAATGGTTACACCATAACCATAGAATCAATCATTCAGAGAGCTGAAATGAAGCAGAGGAGATCATGTCAAGAATCTGGTTGTGTAATCTGCCATTGCTGACGATAACTCCTCCGGCCGGGAATATGATCCTCCTTTCTGCTTGATCTTCCTCCAGATTGATCTCATCTCCTTCCCAATCAGTCACCTGTTTCAGTTTTTAAAAAACCCACAGACACCAAAATCAAACAGCTGTTTCGAAAAACTTGTCAGCAACATTTCATCATCCAAACAGATAAAGCTTCTTCTCATCACTGAAAATGCATCAAGTGAAGAGGTCTTTTACTTCATGAAGACAGAATCACAAGTTCAACAAAGACAGAACCCACCATGAAAATGTTTCAGAATGGCTAGAAATACCATCAGACATGATTTGGGGTAACCCGATAGCAGGATTAACTAACCTTTCCGCCCGCTTCATGAACACATACTATGCCAACAGCATGATCCCAAGCCTACATGTTCGAAACAATCTTTCAGGCAAAATCTATTAAGCTACAACAGAACTTTTTCTAACAATGCTTAACCCCATTTTGGTACCTTGATCGTTTTCTGAGCTTTGGCTCGGAGAAAGAATATCGATGCCCTACCCGACGCTACCATCAAATATTTGCACAAACTGCACAAGAGAAGGCGACGATATAGTGACACATTCAATGAAAAAAATACTGGTTAGTATACAATGAACTGCAGTAGGAGAGTGTATAACCTTCCACAACATGTGGGCAAAAGGCGTATTTCTTCATCCTCTATATCGTCGCCATCCGTTCTTGCACTAAACGAACTAAACAACGGCAGTGATTCCCAGGTCTGGCTCTCTGGAATACAAAACCGAGCCTTCTGTATCAAGCCACAACCATCGACGAAGCACCTTGTCCAACCACCTGGTATTTTTCCAGAGACATCTCCTAATCTCTTTGTCCATGTTCCACAGCCGATATGCGAGAGCATCAAGATCCCTGCGGATCCATCGGACGTATCTCCTGGCCAGTTTGGACAGCCCATGACCCCTAACACAATCTCAGTGTCTACGACAAGGGCCAATCCTACCTGAAAATTTCGGCCAGGTTATTAAGATGAAGAGGAGAAAACCAAGAACTTTCACACTCGCATTGATCCCTTTACATAATTAACACGAAAAATTCAATAACTTTTACTATGATCATATAATATAATAGCTTTAACATTAACAGGCATGTGGACATATTCCTTTTTGACATTTTTCCATTAATCCAATGCAAAACTCAAGACCCAGAAAGGCAGAAATTCAAGAATTGTCTATCAATATGTAGAAATTATCAAAACACAAGGGAATAAACAAGCAGGTTCTTTCCAGCCCTGAGATTAGATTACTGTTTCCTTCCTATCTGCATAAAATTCTTGAATTAACCACACTTGCATTAAGAAGATACTCTTGACGAGATAACCACCATTTTTCAACGTTCATAGCCAGTCAGATTTGTGAGCTCAAAGACATACCACATATAGGGCTTTGTCTCCTTTAAGGAACCCCCTAGTGCCGTCTATTGGATCCAAAACCTGTGAGACATCAGTGGTTCCAGAATAGATAAGCTACAATCAACAAGGACAACAACAAGAAGGCTAGTTATGTAAGATATCAGAATTGACAGTACAGAGTATTACGATGTCCTGGTTTTTAGGACAAAGATATATGCACATTATCCCATTTTATTGCCACTATTTGCATTAGAGAGGGACACAAGATCTTGATATCAACCCCCATCCATCTCTTTTCAACTTTGGCATTTCAGGTTTAGAAACTTCAAAATGTGAGAGCTCATGCGAGAGTGCAGTCCTAACCGAAACAATAGAATGGCATGTATGACTGAGAATTGAAAAAACCTTCCTCGCATGCTAACATGAACATACCCAATAAGTTGCTGGTTTGTTGCAAAATGTAATAGCACCCTTCCCACCTCTGTCGATCGCTTCTAGAACATCAGCATCAGACAACTGCTTGTCTCCATGGCTTGCTTTGGCGATAACTTCACCAGCCACAGGACCTACGAGATTATTCTCACGCAAGAAAGCAGAGTCTTCTTCCGCCACCAAGGGAATAGAGGGAAACGATTTCGAAAGCTCTGTAATCAAAAGTAAGCAACAAAAGAAAAAAAAAGGCAGCAAAAGGTTCAATTTTGAAGCAAAATTCATATAGTTTTATGTCCTTCTGGTCAGCATCAACCGTTTCATGGTCATCAACTACATTTTTGCAACAGAAAGTGAATACCGAATCGAAGTAAAAGAACGGATTACAATACAGGCTTCCGAACCCAAAAGCAAGAAATAGGTGATCACATACAAACCTAAGATTAGAATTCAAAGTTCAACGACATCGATCGATCAAGTAGATCCCCAAAGCTACAATCAATAAAACCCCAAATACATTTAAGTCATGTAAAGTGGAGGTCTTTACCCAAGCTGACAAGAGCTTGCACTCCGAAATCGGCTACAGTAACAGGAGTTTGGTCATTCTTCTCAAGAATGCTCCCTTCACGAGTAAAAAGCGACCTCTTCACCTAAAAATGCAACCCAAAAAAGACAAAGGATGAAATGGAATTCTGACACAACAATGGGAAAGACTACCAACCCGGTGGATCGAGATCAAACAAAATCTACAAAGCAAGTAAATTTCCTCCATTTATATCACAAGTTCCCACCTTGGCGAATTGGGTCTACTAATTAGACCCGAAAGCATTAGAATTCCTTGACAATTTTCTCGGTAAACAAACAGAATGCAAAGAGAAACGGGGAATACAAAAGACACGGGATGACGGATGAAATTACATCGACACAGAGACGGCATGCTCTCTCGACGGCATCAATGGCGGATTCGAGCTCTTTATGATAGTTGGCTTGATGCTTGGGGAACGGAAGACAAACCCTGTGAAGAAATAAAGAAAGAGATTTTGTAGAACTGAAGATCTGAAAATGCACAAGGGAAAGAAGAAGAAGAAGAATATGAAGTAGAAGAGACCTTACGCTGAAGAATCGCCTGCGCTGAGGTGTAGGGGAAGGATTGAGCACCGGACTGAATCGTACGGTGGCGAAACGAGTCGCCGAGTCGAGAAGGTGCATGCCGCCGGAATATCCACCGGCAAATCCCAGAGGCGGTCTCTTATCTTAAATCGACAAAGTGGGTGAAGGAAAAAAAAGGGTATTTTAATTTTTTTTCCCTGATGAATCTGTTATTTCTTTTTTTGGAAATCAAATTGTATAAAACATCCAAGTTAATTAGGTGTACTTTGGGAGTAAAAAATTAATTTGAACCATTAACACCTTTAATTGTTACATGGTGAAGGTAAATGCTCTTTGTAAATTGTAATCCCACCAAAGTCTAAATTTAATTTAAGAGAGCTTAGACAGATGGCACCAGATTTTATTATTATTATTATTATTGTTGTTTATACAATGGACCGACCGACCCAACGGAAAGGTTTTGAGGGTTTGAGGGCAAGACAACATAATACGGTGTCGTTTTAAGGAGCTGTCTCGGTCGCTTTTGGTTTGTAGTTTGTACCCACCCCCACCGCGATGACGTGGACTTCCGTTAATCAAGCACCAATTGGATAAATAAATAAATTAATAAATACATATATAAATATATAAAATATCCAAAACCCGAACCGGACGTGAAGTTGTGAACCCAACCAATCGCATTCTCTCTTTCTCTCCACGTTCGATCTCTTTCACACACTCTCTCTCTGTGTCTCTCGCCGGAGCTGTTTTCTCCGATCGCATGCTCGGTGTGATATGGCCGTGACGGAGGAGAAGCCGGCGTCCGATGTGCGAGGTTGGGGTTTCTTCAAGATGCCGTTCCGAATCTCCGGCGGCAACAGCAGCAGCTCCTCCGCAGCCACGGCTCCGTTTCCGTCGGGAGCTTCGTCTTCTGCAGCTTTTCATCCCCATCTCCACAACCATCACCACCATCTCGGCTTCAACAGCTCTCACGGAGACGGATCCGGTCAGAATCATCACCATGCCAGTCCTTCAGTGTCGTCAGTCGCCAAGTCGTTTCTCCCCGCGAAGCGCCGGTTGAAGCTTGATCCGACGACTAAGCTCTATTTCCCTTGTAAGTTGCTCGAAATCTCACCTGATCGGAACGTTTCTGCTCTTTGACTTTGGTTTTTCTGATCTGGATTTTTATTGCCCTAAGTGAAATTGGTTGATCTGTTCTTCGATCATTTGCTGAAGCACTGATTAATTCGATGAAGGGTTGACTTTACGCTTTCAGCAAAAATCGATTGACTTAACACGGCAGCTAAAGTTGACTTTTTTGGGATTGTGGAAATTATGTGTATAGTCACTTCGTTGGATATTTTCTCCGTTGATTTCGTTGGAATCGGAAGGTCCAAGCTATTCAAGGAATGGACTTGTTAGGAAAACCATTGTAATAATCCCTTTGGTTTCCGGGGAGCAACTCACTCAGGGGAACTGCCCCTTTAGATTCTTTTGGAAAACTTGATCAAGAATGCAATGGGTTATCTGCATGAAGATTTACTTCTTAGTTGATTCATAATTTGAAGATGATATTGTTCTTCATTTGGGAATTATGGAAATCTTTTCCTTATTTGGTTGATCTCCCTCTCGTATGAGGCTGTGCTGGATCTGCTATGTTTTTACTTGGAAGGTTGATTATCTCTAATGATTGAATGGCTGATTTGTTTCCTTTTAATCATTGTTTGTTCCAAATTCCTGAAAACTTAGAAGTGGGTTGTTCCCTTTGCAACTAAACTTTCAAGTGTAATGAATTCCTTTTCAACTTTGTTTGTATGAAGATGAGCCTGGGAAGCAAGTGAGGAGCGCCATTAAGATTAAAAATACCAGCAAATCACATGTAGCTTTTAAGGTATGGTCTCCTTCCGAACATCTTTATCCCCGATTTCAATTGCTGCATTCATGTTAATTTCTTTCCTCAGATTAAAATAAATGGAGAAGTTTGCTTGCTTTTTCTATCTTATTCTCATCTAGATATGTGTTTTTGGATGATTTCCTTATCATATTCTCATTTAGATGTGTTTCTTTCTTTTTCGGTTCAACAGTTTCAAACAACTGCACCAAAGAGTTGCTTCATGCGACCGCCTGGTGCTATTCTTGCTCCCGGGGAGACTCTTATTGCAACTGGTATCTACTTTTATCTCTTCCTCTTCTCCATTGCTTATTCTACTTTATTTGACCATGCTATTATCGGAGCACACAAACCCTGGAGATTTAATTTCTGATTCGGTTTTGGACTTTGTAGTGTTCAAATTTGTTGAGCCTCCCGAGAATAACGAGAAACCAATGGATCAAAGGAGCAGGGTTAAGTTCAAAATCATGAGCCTGAAGGTGAAAGGCCCGATGGACTATGTGCCTGAACTGGTAATATACCGATCTGTGTCTCTTGTTTGAAACTAAAAACTTCTTTCTCTTTTTGAAAAGATATACTTATTGGAGTTTAAATTTCTTAGCTTTAAGTTCAACCGAATGTAGTTTCCGTCTAAGAATTCTCAGGTGCCCTTTTTGTGCAGTTTGACGAGCAAAAGGATCACGTGTCTGTAGAGCAAATATTGCGGGTGGTTTTCTTGGACCCTGAGCATCCCAGCCCTGTAAGTATCTCGCTTACCGAAGGATCCTCGTTAAAATACAGTATCATAAAAGAACAGTTGTTTATCGGTAAAGATTCCTTGAAAAAAGTTAGCTCGATTTATGAGCTTTTGGCCAAGGCTTACTACCTGTTTTTGTTGCCATCTTTCGTGGGGAGAATATATCATAGAGAAGTCGTCTGGTGGGTCGTGGTCTTGATATTTCTTAGACATATTAAGATGGCATGAACGAAATGACGGGTCCTTCTTTGTTGTGGTGAAAAGGCTCTGGACAAATTGAAGCGACAGCTAGCTGAAGCAGATGCTGCAGTTGAGGCACGGAAGAAACCTCCGGAAGATACTGGTCCGAAGATAATCGGTGAAGGGCTTGTAATTGATGAATGGGTGCGTCATACGTCCATCTATAACATCCCTTATACGATCGTTTTTTTTTTTGCATAATAGTGATCAAATCTTCGTGTTTCGATTGTTTTCTTTCCAGAAAGAGCGGCGGGAAAGATATCTTGCACAGCAACAAGGGGAGGGATTGGACACGGCATGAACAGTTGTGTCTGGTAATATCAGATCATGCAATCCAAAAGATCAATGTGGGTGAGTGAAACCCTCAACCCTCAACTCCTTTTGTAAAAATGAAAAAAAATTTGCAGAAATTGGAACTGAAGAGTGAAGAGTGTGATTTGGTGGTTCTGTTCTTGTTATATATGTCATTAGACCCATGAAAGTGTATGAATATTACTGATGTTGTCTGAATCCGTACCATCATAATCATATTACATGGGTTTGATGGTCAATTATTGCCTTGACTACTGTTGCTTCCCATCCATGTAAACCATATAAATGATCTTCCAAATGCATAACCGGGATCGGTACCGATTTGATATCCGAACCCTGTTCATCTTCTCGACTGGTTCACCCTTCGGTTTGGGCAAGAAATAGTATTATTGTCTTGACTACTGATGATTTCCATTCATATAAGCCATGTAAACGATCTTCCAAATGCATAACCGGGACCGGGATCGATTTGATATCCAAACCCGGTTCATCTTCTCGACTGGTTCACCCTTTGGTTCGGGTAAGAAATAGTATACGGAGACCGACCACGTATATGCATATAAATTCTTATTCTACCCCGATTATTTCATCCCTAACACCGAGTTCATATAATATAATTTTTACAATAAGGAATGTTTAAAGCTGTATTATTGGAATTGATTTGAACCAAAAATAAAATAAAAACATTGGTTTGATATTTATATACGCTTATATTTAATTGAACGGTAAGCAGTATACGGAAAATATCACTGGATTTGTTGTTATATATTCCAACTATTAATTAGCCTTTTATTAAAATCTCAAACATTAGTTTGTTTACGGAATGGACTTTATAACCATCATAGAAATAAGTTTTACAAAGGAAAACAAATATATGTTAAATGTGGAAAACTAAAAAAAAATATACAAAAAAAAAACTGAAATGCCATATATAATTAGATAATAGATCGTTTACTTTTCAAAGAATTGTTAAATAATAACAAGAATAAGTAATTGCAGGGGCATTACTGTAATAAAGATGCAAAACGAGCCTTGACTGTAACGCCTCCTCTCCTTTAATACCACAAGAAGCATTCACCTCTTTCACTACCGCTCAAGGCCGACTCAGTCCCCGGCGAGTTCGACTCGGAGATTTTCGCAGTACGATTCATCTCGTTCTCTCTCTCTCTCTCTCGATTCTGGATCCAAAAATACCGTGTGTGCTCTCAAGTTTGAATTGAGGAAGGAGACAACGAGAAGAAGAAGATGGCCTCCGAGCTGATCTACCGGTGACACGAGACGGACCCGCCAGCCGCCGAAGCTTATTACCCGAAACCCATAAAGCCATGGTTTGTCGTGACTCGTCCGATCCGTTACATGCTCCGGGAAATTGATACCAAGATTTGGGAATCCCCGAAGAACCGGTATGTGGGGTTGATTGAAAAGCAAATTTGACGCTTTACGTATGCCTGAAAATGAGACGATTGTTGAATTCGCCGGTAAATTGAGCTATGGTCATCAAATACAGCGATCTTGGTACTACTCACTACACTTATCAAGAAACTTCAAATAAGTTTTTCCAATTAGTTGTATCTATAGAATAGTATTTAGATATTGATAAAATACCGTTTGAGAAAGCGATCGGGAGAATGAAAGTATATGAGGACCGGATTCGGCTGCGCAATATGGATGATAACTCCGATGGACAACTTTTGCTCACTTATGCAGAGTGGCAAACTCGACAAACTCGACAGAAGCGTGGAAGAGGTCGTGGACGCACACGAGACGAACGTGATAAAGGATATATACAATGTTTTACTTGTCAAAAGTATGGATATTACGCTTCTGAGTGTCCTACACCGAAAAACGAACAAAACGATGAAGAAATCCATCTTGCGGAAGAAGTCAAAGGCGAACCGTTGTTATTGTGAGGCGGATCGGAAGCCAAGGAGGGACCGTTTTATTTCATATTTTGTATTTTTCGTATTATGCAGTTGGTCGATGGGGTGACCTATTCATTAGGAGCAAATCACATCAATCGTGCTAAGTGATGCACGTGATGCAAATTTATCGATTTGGATAGTTTAGGTTTGCACCTCATCGAATGAATAAAATTATGCTTCGCATTTGTTTTATTCTGTCTCCTATCTCGCATTCTCTCTCTAAATTAAATTTTTGTTTTCTTTTCCTCCCAAAAACTTTTTGATTCGGTGCCATTAGCAAACGCCATCAGTGAAAGTGACCTTCTCGACGGAGAGGTTAAAGTCGCGGATGGGGGTGACGGAGTCGCCGGTACGCGTTTGAGCCAGGAGATGACGTCATCAAAGACGGGGTGGACGGCGTCGCCTGACGTCAGCGCACGCCACAGCACCGGGGGGAAGGACAGCTTAATGGTAATGTCTTTGCTGCTCGATTTCTGGTAAAAAGGACAACACTTGGACACATACATACATTACAAGCACGTTGTAATAAATGTGCGTAATACTTGTGGGATGCATAAGATACAGAAAATCCCATGTGAAAAATTGGATCATGAAAAACATAATTCATATGGATGGTTCAAATCGCATGATCAACAACACAACAGAATATCATTTCAAGTAGGTATGATCCCAACGTTTGGTTAGACCGGCACGAAACGCGTTTTGCAAAACGCCGATTCTTTCATCCACAAGTCTCTCCTTCAGAACCTCTATCTCTCTCTCTTCCATATCCATTATCAGTTCCAAATGGTCCAAAAACTTCATTTTGCTCCGCAGTTTCTTCACATATTCGAATCCGAGACCAGAATTCCGTTAGAACCCGAGTCGCAAAAACTCAAAAACAAGTTCAAGAGAAGCACCGGGTGACAAGATTTGAGATTTAACCCACCTGTTCATCGATCACAGTGGCAGCTAAAAGCTCCATCTCTCATTCTTCTTGATCGGCCAGTATCTTCGCATGAGCGGCTGCTGCTCCATGGTCCCATCATAGGTATTCGTTAGAGAATGAAGGACCTATTGTATTTTTGTAACCATCGATTTCGTGAGAAGCTGATAAAAAGATATGAACTTTATAGTAAAAATATATGTAAATAGTGTAAAAAAACGGACATTTTAGTAATTGAACTTTACACTTTTTGTCCGGTCGGCTATCTTCTTTAGAAAATGTTTTCGTATTCTTTTTTAGATCTTTACATAAACACCCACAGTTGTTTGAATTTAACATTTTCACCCCTGTTTAAGATGTAACATTGGATAGGAACCAAATTAACAATTTTGTTTGACATCCTAATCATTACTAGGACGTAATAATAACAATATATATATATATATATAAACACATAATTATAAGAGGTAATTAACAGTTTGCACCTTATAATATATACATATTATTTTTTTTAACAAATAATAACAGTTTTTCTTACGGACTTGACCTGCCTTAGGACTCGCCTCGATGGTCGTCAATATTAATATTTATTACAAGACCTACGACGAGGTCTTTTCTTTTTGTTTGGTTGTGGAGTGTGAACATGACCAATGAGACCGGCCTGATATATATATATATATAACCTTAGCAGGTGAAAATGAACCATGCCTTGTCTATATATATTCCCATCGAGCATATTATAGAATTATTATAATGTAACTATAGTTAAATATTAGTTTGGTTAGACTAATTAGTTTAGTTAGGGTTTAGTTATATATGTTTTCTATTTAAGTTACTTTATGTAAGATGAAAATATTATCGGATCTTTTCCATTGCTGAAATCTTATTTTAGATCTCAATAGCGCAATTAATCAATTGGGAAATAGTTAAACCAAGAACAATAATTCCGAGAGGGGTTGCAGAAATGGCGAAGGTAAGTGGTATATTTATATGACTAGATTACAGTTTATGTATATCTTCTTTATGGTGTGTGTGTGTATATATATATATATACACACACACATGGAATTCGAAGGCATGATCTTGAAATGTGGGAAATGGGCAGAAGATCTTGATGTCGGTAGAGATGAGATGCGAAAAATGCAGATCGAAGGCACTCAAGATTGCTGCAGGATCTGATGGTAAGAGATCTCAAACTACTGCATGCATGCATGATGCATGCATCATCATCATCATCCATGCATGATGTTTTTTTCCCCTTTTTATCAGAAATAAATAAAAAATAATTTTGCATGAAGGAGTGAAGTTTGTGGGATTGGAAGGGGAGAAGAAAGATCGAGTGGTTGTGGTAGGAGAAGACAGCGTAGACGCAGTGGCCATTGTCCTTCGCCTTCGCAACAAACTCGGCCGTACGGATATCATCAGCGTCTCTCATGTGAAACCCTAAATCTTACGATTTTTAATTTCTTTTTTCGTATTTAATTTCTTAGGTCACTCGTGTTACGTCACATCTCTATGATATCTATCATCAGCTTAAATTACCTAATTTTTGGATATCCATCGTAACTATATATATATAGGGCCGTCTCATAATAGTTTTTTGGGCCTAGACATTTTCTAAATTTTAGATAAAAAATATTAATTTATATATTAAAATAATAATATTATTAAAATAAAATTTGAGTTGAAGAGTTCTTACTATTTCTGGTTCAAGAGGAAATAGAGTTTGACTTCCATGGCTCCTGGTCATAAATCGAAGGAATCAAAGTTCTGATTCCCGAAAGAAGGGAATCTGATGGTGGTGGAAAGAAAGTAGATGGTGGTGGAAAACTAGAATCTAAACTGGCACCCAACTACGATAATACATTTGGTAACGATAACAAAAAATGTTACCCATCATTACTAATAATTAATTTAAATTATTATATATTATTAATATTTTTTATTTAATAAGGATCCCACAAATTTGGAGGCCCTTTTCCATCCCATCGTATGCATTTGTTAATACATGGCACTGTATCTCTCTCTCTCTATATATATATATGAATATATATGAGAAATTTGAATTTTTTTTGTTCGGGTTTAGCAAACAATTAAGATGAATCGTTCGAGTGTCACGATTTTGCCGTCGGGTACATATAGATCCCGGGTAAATGAAAAATAAATAAACTTTAATCTTTTATAATTATTACAAGTACATTTATAGGAATTTTAATTAACTGTTAAATAGAAATATAGTTTAAGATTCTGATTTGTTACCATAGATATCCGAATATATTGATCGGAAATTGAGGTTCATACGAAGAGAACAAAAAAGAAAATAATGGACACCACACATGTACTAAAACATATTTTTTGATGCTCAAAATTCGAATACAAAATCTTACAAATACAAAATCAGATTCCAAAATATTTGACCTAAGACAATTAGATTTAGTGTAGATAACCCAAAATCTAGGATGATTGTCTTTACTCATCAAATCGCAACAGAGGATAGCCAAATCGTTTTTTTTATATGTATACGATGATCCAAACTTGAGTAGTTAGACCCAATTTGGATAGTTCAACCGGTGAAACGGAAACGCAAAGCGTTTGTCTTTAAACCTCAAGTTGGAGAGTGAAGTGTATATTTCAAAGCACATGGCTTGCTCCCGGTCCCGAGATTAGTCTGGGCTTCGGTCTAGGATACCCGGTCACAAAAAAAAAACTTGAGTAGTTCAGCATATGAAACGGGATGCAAAACTTTTGTCTTGCCTCGAATTCGAACTTCAAATCTCTTTTGAGACGTATATTTCAAATCACATGAATGGTCTATGGATCCAGAGATTAATCTAGATATTGGTCCAAGATTATTGGTTACCTATATATAATATATGGCGAAAGACAAATCTCAATGAAACTATCTTCATCTGAGGGAAATCCATACCTTATTTGCGTTCTCTTCTTCTCCATCAATGCTCTCTGCTTATGTATAAGCAAATTTGAATAAGGAGGCATGAATAATTTCCTAATGTACATAATCCAAACTAATTTGTCAGTCGCATTTAATTATTCACAGACACCATTCGGATACACACGCATGTGGGCAGCCATACACAAACACATGGAATAACATTAAACAAAGGGTAGCAAGATTTATCAGAATCTGATTCGTATAAGATTTACATTGCACCTCAAACCTTGGATTCTCTGACCCTTTTTTATTTATTTATTTATGGAAAATACAAAATAACCAATAAGAGACAAGATCTCATTATCCTTTCTTCTAGGCTAAGTAAAAAACCCAATATACACAGAAAAAGAATAAGCTTTCTGAATCCAGGTCGTGCTAATGAATGTAGTATATACATCATCATCCATGATGATGATGATGATCATCCCGAAGCAAAGCCATTGAATTGAATCCTTCAATGAGCTTTCACCTTGTTCACGTCGTGTTATCTTGGACAGCGTTTTCTTACAGCTCTAAGTGAACAATGCCATGGAAACACTAGAAAGATCTTTCCTCTTGTTCTTTGTCCATGGCGCCTCACGATACGTTTTTCGCTGAATCGGGGCATTAGGAGGGTCGATAACGTCGTCGGAATCGCGGGAAACTTCATCGAAATCAATCGGGTTCCTGAAAGCTGGAGTCTTTTTGGGAGTGCTAAACGCGAAATGTGATCTTTTCGCGATTGATGCCTGTTTGAGAAGCAACAAGAACACGAGCTGATTAAGACTTTTTGGTTAATTTGTAAGTGCGATTATGATTAGTCAGTGTTTTAAGCTTTGATTAATGCACGAAATGGAAACTTACAGCTTCTTTGACTGATTTGGATACTAAGAAGAGCCTCTGCAAGTCATCGTGATTGACACCACAAAGCACTCGAATCTGCAATATAGATCATCCAAACCCAGAAAGTAAGCAAATTGGATTACTGGTAACTGAGAAATGGAATTAGGGTTCATGTGATTTTTCTTCATAACTCACCAGAAGATCCTGAGGCAGAGACTCGAGCAGAGACTTGTCAGAGTTTGGAACCATTACTCCACTTCGTTGTCTCTTCAATTGAGCTTTCTCCGGCGATTCAGGGACCGGAGATTGGTCGGAACCCAGATCGATTTCCCTACTGAACTGTCGTCTCTTCAACATGTCCTGATCGTTACCGCTAGAAATCACGATCCTTTTCCTCCCCAATCCTCGCGTGAACTTCACAGACCCAAACCCTGAAACCCTTTCCTCGCCAGTTCCACCATTGAAACGCTCCGATTTCGCTTCACAGCATTCCATCACCGTCGGCGCCATGATTCTTCTCGCTCTTCGACCAGGAAACTCCAAAGAACCGAGATGTCTCCGAATCTTCTCTACTACTTTTTCGAAACTCCGGAACCAGAGATCAGTTATAAACCGGAAGCAGCAGCGAATCATACAAACGCATCCGATATAGATACAGAACAACAGAACACCGAAACAACAGAGTCGGATTCTGAGGGAAATCCGAGGGAAAAACAAAAACCCTAGATTCGAGAAAAAGCGTTAGCAGATCTTTCAGAGAAGGAAAAAAAAAGGAAACTGAAGGAGAAATAGGGAAGAAAACAGTCTCCGTGTGATTCGCGGCTTTGAAGGGGAGGGGAAGTTCGTCAGCTTCTCCCTCGCCAACTTAAATCAACGGCGATCTTTCCGCGTTTAGGTGATGGACACGTGGGGCATTTTCATTGGACAGATGTTGACGGCGTTCGTGGTTGGTCCAAGTTGGCTGGCTCAGTGTCCACATTTAACACGGCTTCTTAGACACGGTTAAGAAGCCACGGGAGGGAATCAGGTGCGACACGGTCCACGATATCGTTCGTGCATATGTCGACGGTCGCTCGCCACGTGACGTCTGGGAATTTTGACGGCGTTGATCAGTGAGAACACAGGAGGAAGTTGAAAAGCCGTTGAAACTTGTTGGGGTGGTTGACTTAGTTCTTCCTTGGATTCCATAAAACAATAGGCTGAGATACTGACAGATTTCGTGGGTTTGTCCACGTCAGATACCGTAAACAGCTTTATAATTTACTTGCTTTATATATAGATTTGTAATTTAAAGAACGCTAAAAAAAAGGTTTCAAAAATGGGATAATATTTAATGGGACAGCCTCTTGCTAATAAATAAATATATTATTATCCAATGCATACCCCTTATGTTCTAATAGACAGCAATGGTTCCACTGTCGCTTATGGTTTGGAAACAACGACATTATCCTCGTCAGAAGCCACGTAGAAACTCCATACAGTTGCACCGTTCTCATCAGCTGCGTTAATGGCAGAAACGAGGGATTAAAACCTGGCAAGGAAGTAGAGGAGAAAAGTGAGAAAATAGAGGTACCTTTCAAGTGCAGATCATCGTTATCTTCGTCGCTGGGAGTGGCAAATCGTCGATGCCCAGATGATGATGCGGCCATTGGAAGGTAAGGATGGAAAGAAAAGCCATTGACGGTATCTGTATATCATCAAATGGGCAAGACTGCATTATGACACCAAGAATTCTGGAAAAATAACACCCATAAAAGATACACTGCAGAGCTATTACTACCCGAGGCAGCTTGATAGCCCGAGACCCAGTTCCCGGACTGTAGATCATATATGTGAACAAGGCCGTCCTGGAAAACCGAGAAAGTGAGAGGACAGACAAATTGAAACCAATCAGTCGAGAAGGAAAGGGGGAAACATAGGCCAAAAGATTGAGAAGGGGACAATAGGTTATATACCTGACCACCAGTCCCAAGATGTCGACCACAGGGCTCGATATCAAAGGATACCCGCTGGTTCGTGTTGTCTGTTGCTCTATACAATCTGATTATGGATAGAACACATAAATTGAGAATCATCTATATAACAACCAACAACATCTACAACAAGTTCCTGGAGTTCATCAACTAGAACTCTCTCTAACCTCAAATATCAATTTAAACCGCTCCTGCTGTTAGTGGTGGTTTTTATATTATATCGTTGAAGAGCTAGAAGATTTGGAAAGCCAAACACAAACCAAACCAAAAAGAAAATGGAGTACTCACTTGTAAACTATTTCAACAGCATTCCGCATATCCCAGCAAAGAATGTAAGGATCCTGCGAGATGCAAACAACATTTCGAATATTACTTTTAGTATAGTGTATATTCAATTGCATATATAAATATTGGATATAAAAGAAAAGCTTTTTTCCTCCAAGAAGGTGCTTCTTCTTCACATGTATATAATTTCATGCTTTAGAAAACATCCAAAAGGTAACAGGTTTCTATCAGTATGTCACCTTGCGGCCTCCCGTGTACAAATAATTCCCATCCTTTGAAAACTGGACCTGAATTGCCAAAGAGAAGTTTTCTTTATCTATGACACAAATCAGTAGAATTAGTTGAATAACAATGAACTTTGATTACATGTGTGACACCGCCTTCTTGACCATGTAAGACATACAATAGCTCCATGTTGTCCTCTCTATAAATCCCAGTAGTCTGGCCATAAGAGCCCACAGCCAACATTCCAGAATTAGCTTGGGAGAAAGCAAGAGAAGACAAGATTCCTGAAAGTTGTAAACCAGTGAGGCGAGGGAGATTCATAATTTTCGTGAAATCTGTAATAACAAAAAAAAATGCAATCTTTGGCTTGCAGTGTAGGATAAACCTGCTTGGCCTTCTTTATTTCCCTGTAGAGTTGAATATTGCTTAAAATCTCTACCAGGACGATGAATATCAAACACTCTGACAGAGCTGTTATAACCAGCAAATATCCTAAACATGAAACACAAAACTAATGAATAAACTAGATCATAAGTGTAATTTGATTTCAAAACAACATAGGTTAGAAATTCCATGAAGCACAAACTTATATTCTAGCTTACTTGGTCCCATCAGGATTAAATCCAACAGAAAATGCAGCAGTTATTTCATCCATTGCATCATAGGCACGGTATGTACATCGAATCTGCCATTTATTAGCGTCAGATTTAAGTATAACAGTTTAGAGAAAAAGGGGGAAGAAGATAGCATATAAACCCTTTTTATTTCTACAAAGCCTTCAACTATCTAAAAAAATCTACAATGTCACAACTAAAGAAAAGGAAAACAACCTGATAAAAGCACATGCACATTTTACAGGCTCTCAATAGAGAAATAATGACAGTAAAAGTTCTGTTTATTGAAGAAAATTCAACAAGCATGTTCCTTGGAAAAATCAGCACCTCACCAGAAGAACTATCCCAGAGATGGATTGGATGGTCTCGGCTGGTGGTTGCGAAGACACACGTTGATGGGTCTGAACATATCAATTGATTAAAAAAATTAATGATTCATTTGATAGAGCAGTCAAAACCACAATAAATAAATGATTTACCTCCAGGAAAATCTGTGATAAGGAAAATCTGTGATAAGCTTGATTAGTACCTGAAACTGACATGTATGGATACCAGCTGAAATCATAGACAGATTCACCCTCATTCACAACAAGGCTGGCGCCATACGAATCTGCAGTCCCAAAATGATTGGCCCGATAAGCAAGCACATGCTTTCAACAAACAAAACTAAACCATTATTGCTCAAGTACGAAGGAGGAAAATTGCTTGACATTATTCTCCATTTTTCTTGCAACAGCCAACAGCCAACGTCTTTTTTCACACTTACTACCACCGTTTGGAATAATGGAGAATAAACTCCCCATCATTCACAATATCTGTCACTTTCACAGAATTTGATACAAAATGCAAGTTAGAGCAATAAATTGCCAAAGATGCCAGATGGAAAATCTAACCTTCTTCTGAAGTTGACAGTCCACAGGAAGCAGAATCACCTCCATCTTGTGGGCTGATGGAAAAATTTAGCAAACGAAATGATTGAGCAGGAAGCAATAAAATGGTATATCACCTATGCAATGTAGGCCAAATAACACTGACAAACAAATATCACATAGATTGGACTGCCTTGCACTTCATCAAAAGCAAAAAAAGAGACAGTCTACCATATTCCAGCTCCGAAGGTGAAGGAACAAGGCAAAAAACGACAGAAAACTGTAAAGCAAACTTCTTTCTCCTTTTCCATTACAGTCAAAGACAAAAGATCATTGCTTCTCAGCATTCAAGAGCAAAAATCAGTTACTCAAAGAATTTGGCAGAACTCCAGGTTTATCAGATTTTCCAGATGTGATGTTCCATAAAGTCTTGAAATTAAAAACCCTGATGGAGAAAACTTACAGATAAAACACACGAAGAGTGTTGTCCTCCGAGCTTGTGAGGAAACACGAACCATCAGGAGACCTGTCGGAAGCAGCAATTCCGGCAAGAGAACAAAACCCTAATGGAGGAAGATAACAACAGAAAAACGAAATCCGTACCATTTGACACCTTTGAGGAAATTGTTAGGGTTTATAGAAGTCCTAAACTGCTTGAAGAAATGGTGTGTCCTGTACGGATGAACATCGAATCTCATGATGGGCCACGAGTAATCCTGCTGCCTTGAATCCGTGGTTTCGCCGCCATTTTCGTCTTCTCCCATTGTTCTTTCTCTTCTTCTTCTTCGATTTTTTCGGATAGGTTGCCGCCAAATAGCACGAAGCTTTCGCCGGCGAAGGAGCTTCTGAGGTTTATATTCGGTCAAACCCCTTCTCAACCGAAGGTTCCAATAACCGAACCGGGTCCAGATTAGAATCACTAGACCGGTTACGAAACAACAAAGCTACCGGTTTTTATTTTTGGAAAGAATAGTTAGCAAAAATCAATAATAAATTACGTTTAAATCTAAAGAAACTAAAATTTATTATTAATAATTCTCACTTAGAAATTTGATAACTGTCAAGAGTTTTTTAATTTGGAAAAATGTCTAGGTAAAAAATAAAAATAAAATAAACGTTTTACCGAATTTCTAATCTTGTAGAAAAATTCTGGGTTTCTAAAAAAAAAATCCAACCGTTGCTATCTTTGAAAATAAGTCTAAATCAATAAATACAACCATATTATCAATTATATATAATTTAAAATCCTAAAATCCCGTAAATTTTATGTGGTTATTGATTTTTGGATCGGAGTGTAAAATGGGCGGGTCATATCAGATTCGAATCGGATTTAATTAAGGTTTAAATTTTTTCGGATTGGATCGGTACGCTCATTTAGTTTTTAGACCTATAATTGGTGGTTCGGAACCCGGTCCTATAAAACTTCAGGCGAGTTCGAAGTGAATTTCGAGTTTTCTCTATTTAATAAAAAATAAATATTAATGTATAATAATAATAATAATAATAATAACAATAATGTTGAGTTATTTAGTAATTTTTTTTTAAAAAATCAACAAAAACAAATTTTTATCCAAATCAATTATAATTAAAAACTTTTAAATCTAAAAAATAATCATATAAATTTTAAAATATATAAATTATCGAATATTTTTAATATATAAAAAAGATATTTAGTTATAGTTTTGATATATATTAACCAAATTGCCTAAAGATGGCTACGTCAGCTAGTTGACGCGCCTAGCTGGACGCGTGCTCTTCAATCTATAGTTTCTACCTGAGAAAAATCTTACCAAACATCGGCTTTTCCGACATAACCGAGAATTCTCTCTCTCGGTAGGTTCGCCACCTTCGCGGACCTTGCGTCAATGGATAAGCGGCTGGAAAACGAACAAGAGCATGGGCCGGCGATAATCTCCGACCAGGTTCTGGTCAACGGGATTGCCACGCCGTTGATGTTGACCGCCGACGGAGAGCTCTGGTGGATGGGGGCTGTTCGCCGGAGTTTAACGGTGGAGAAGGACGTTATCGGATTCTCCATCGAAGGAAGCAAGGTGAGGGTGAAGGCTGTTGTGGAGAGAGGAGGAGGAGGAATCTGCGGCGGAGGAATCGCGGGAGATTGCGTGAGGAAGGATTTCGTCTTCGAGCCTCTCTCCGATTATTCCAGAAACCTATGGCGCCACAAGCTCGGCGAATGCCTCGATTCTCTCGGTCAGTATCAAAACTTGGATGAAACTTCATCGATTTGGGATATTAAATTCGCAATATCCGTATGAATTTAGGTCGGCCCAAGAAGTTGTTTGTGTTTGTGAACCCATACGGTGGAAAGAAATCAGCGAGAACGATCTTCCAGGAGGAAGTAAAGCCATTGTTAGAAGCTGCAGATATTCAACTTGAGGTTAAAGGTTCAGAATTTCCGCTTTTTGGCTGATGTTTTTCTTGTGGGTTCGTCCAATTCCTTTGCCAAACTATAAGGTTGCGTGAAAATTTTGATTCTCAGAAACAAAGTATCAGCTGCATGCCAAGGAAATTGTCAGATCCTTGGATCTTGCTGAATACGATGGTATAGTTTGTGTCAGTGGAGATGGTATCCTTGTTGAGGTGAGCATTCTACGTGATTTGTATTCGGAAAGCGATTTCAGGATGAACTCTATTGCTATGTTCAGTTTCTTGAGTGACCGACCTGAATAACTTTCAGTGTCAATGTCTACAGAATCAATACGAAGAAGCGATCTGTAGTTATATCTGTTTCTTTGTCTTTGCAGCTTTTGTTTTGTTTAATTATTAGTTTCGGTTGTTCATTCTTACAAGTGGTGCCTTAGTAGGTGGTAAATGGATTGCTCGAAAGAGAAGATTGGAGAAACGCTATAAGAACGCCGATTGGAATGATCCCTGGAGGTTCGTTTCTTGATAATGATGCTATAATCTTTGAGTTTACCCGAATGCTTGGTCCATCGATTTCAAATTTTGTGGTGATAGGTTTGATTTCCGTATGCAATCCCTCTAATATTCATGCGTTCCGTTACAGCACATGATTCCATTTCTTCCTACGATACAACAACATATAAAATCTTTATACGTTGCTTCTATTGAGATAGGCTGTCAGTGTCTGTTCCGCACTAAAATTTAGAATTATACGATGTGAAGTACAATATCTTTTATGGACAGGAACCGGTAATGGCATGATAAAATCTCTGTTGGACTCTGTCGGGCTTCAGTGCAGTGCGAGAAGTGCTACTATTTCTGTAATTCGAGGTCCTGCTCCTTTTGTCATTTCATTAATTCATTTCTTATTTCTCGAACGTATTCTCTGTTTTCCTCGTTAACCGGCTCTGAATTGGCAGGTCACAAACGTTCTCTAGACGTCGCAACTATCTTACAAGGGGACACGAGATTCTTCAGCATCTTGATGCTCGCTTGGGGTATGAAAGTGAACTTCTACTTCTTGTTTCTGTAATATTTTCAGATTTCAGCACCTAATTCTGAGAATTTCTAATGTAATTTCAGGTCTAGTGGCTGATATAGACATCGAGTCAGAGAAGTTCAGATGGATGGGCAGTGCTCGGCTTGACTTTTACGTAGGTTTTAGTCGACAAACTTTTTGACAACACCCTTTTACTGTCCTTATGTCGGTTGAGTGTGTTTGTTTTTAAAACTGTAGGCTCTTCAGAGAATAATACGGTTGAGGCGTTATAATGGACGGGTTTTATTTGTGCCGGCTCCTGGGTTTGAAGGCTATGGCCAGCCGGCCAGTTATGAAGCCAGATCCCGTGCCAGTTCAGACAAAGCGCCATCAGTTGAAGCCAAGAAGCTCGGGTATCAGGGACCTAACACAGAGACCAGAAATCAAGAATGGAGGGAAATAAATGGACCGTTTGTTTCAGTATGGCTTCATAATGTTCCGTGGGGTGCCGAGAACACCTTGGCTGCACCTGATGCGAAGGTCGATTACATATTTTTACCGTTTAAAAAACTTTCGTAATCTCTTTCCACCCATTACCATGTGCTTCACTAACTTTTTGGTGAGATCTCCTTTCTGGTGCCTTTGTTAGCAAAGATCATGCAAGAGGAGGAGATAAGACTATACGGGTTTACTGCGTGTAAAGCTGCTAGCTTTTGGGGGTTGTATGTATTCTTACGGAACCTTAACAACGGTTTTGTCTGATTGTCACAAAAAAATGCAGTTTTCTGATGGATTCCTGGACTTGATTCTCATCAAAGACTGTCCTAAGCTTGCTCTGTTGTCACTAATGACAAAGTTAACCGATGGAGGGCATGTTAAATCTCCCTATACGATGTATCTAAAGGTCGATCCTTCTCTCTATCCAGCTTTCCGTTTTACCGTCTTTTTTTGTTTGCGCGGGCAGAATCATTTTAGTAAGCATAGGTTCTCGGATGGAAATTAACCGGTACAGGTGAAGGAATTTGTACTGGAGCCAGGGGCAAGAGTGGAAGATCCGGACAAGGACGGGATCATAGATTCAGACGGAGAGGTTCTTGCAAGGGGAAGGAGAACGTATAATTCCGACCACAAGGCTTTGATGTCTTACAGTGAGCTTCGAGTTACAGTTGACCAAGGTTTAGCCACACTCTTCTCTCCCAAATAATGTTATCCTCCATCCCTTCCTCTCCTTCACCATTCATTCCCCGCCATTACACACACTCATACATACATACTGAAATATCCAGATCTGACCTTTGAGAGTTTTCATATCATGTTCTGTTTTGTTTTATCAGTTTGGTCTTTGTTTTTTTTTTTTTCTTAACTGGGAAAAGTCTATCTGATGGGTCGATGTACAGAAGCAAACTGATGATTGTTCAGCATTCTCCGACAACATGAGAAAAAGAAAAGATTCTTGCCGTGGCTGTTCTATTGAGCTGAGTGTTTTATATACATATATATATATACAAACAAACTTAAACAAGATATTAAATAGGACAAAAACTTATTTCTCAAAAATAAATAATAGTAGTACATTACGTTGAGAAACAATACCAATCTATCCCGAACATAATATCAAAATACGAACTAATTTCAAGATAACGGATTATCTATTTGATTTGGAATATATATTTTTTCTCCAAATTTGATATTCGAATTCGAACTGTCATTCTATTTCACCAAAGTTTGAGTCCAATCTATCCTGAATTTGATTATATTCTCTTTTTTTTTTTCGTTTTGTCCCAATGTGTTCATAAAAAAAAGAATTTGTCAATTTTTTTGGGTTTTAAATAATCATCCAATTCAAAAATTATATTTCGTAATTTCATAATCCTATATATATATATATATATATATATTTGGAATGTGAATGATCATTGCTTTCAATAGGAACTTATAATAGATTAATGCACAAAGTGGTGAAATAAACAAATACGAGGAAGGAATGATGAATTTCTCTCGTGAGGAGAAAAGAAGCACAAGTGATGACGTGGCGTTGCTACCATCAAAATAAATTAAAATAAAAAATAAACGGGAAAAAGCGCATTTTGCATAAACCCTAAGCTTTTTTTTTTCTTTTCTTATCAGGCAATAACCACCAGTTTCAGAATTCCTCTCTCTTCTGTACTTCCTCTCCTCTTCCTTTCCACTTCGTCTTTTTCTCTTTGCGAACAAAAAAAGACACTTCTTTTTTCTAGGGTTTATGCATCGTTCTCTTCTTGCTCGTCTTCCCCCATGTCGTCTTCCTCCTTGCAAACCTCGAAACTCTGTTTCAACAGTGAGTGTTCCGAGTTCAAACCGGAGCGTTTTCGTCCTGCTTGGCGCTTTCGTAATGGCGATTTTGCTGACCTCTGTGATCGTTGCGCGTAAGCTTTCCATTCTTTTCCTTCTTCACCCAACTTTGTGTCTCTTTTGGTTTTCTTTCGACGTCTGGTTTCGGTTCTGCGCTTCTTTGCTTGGTTTTTTTTTTCTCTAATTTTAAAACTCTCGCGAACTGGTGAGAAATTGTTAGCTTTCTGCAATTCGGATTTGTTGGTAGTCGAAATTGATTTTTTTCCGTAGATTGTTTAGCCCCGAAGTGTATCTCTTGCTACTGGTGTCCAAAAGTTGAAGTTGTGTTTTGAAATGATAAGTCCTCAAGAGCTAAGGACACAGTCTCAGAGTAAGGGTTCTTTCTTTCTGCGTGTTTCTCTGATGGTGGTTGTATGAGCAATGTGATTTCCGGAGGGAAGCTTCAGCTGAGCTGTCCAAATATCATCAATAAATTGAGTAGAGAATTCGGAGTTCCAAACTCCAGCCATAGCCAATGAATTATAGAAATAAAAAAGATTGAGAATAGGGGAAAAAAGAAAGAAAGTGGAAGTTCTTCTTAATCCCATTATCAACAAGTAAAGAATTCTCCCCAACTGCTAGGTTTGGTGTCGTTACACAAATGTTCTATTTTCTACTGTATCTACTTGTTGTAGTTGGAAGTTATCCAAGGTGAGGTCCGTCTGGGTTTCACATGCCGATAACGTTCATATATGGAAGAAACTTTTAGATATTCAGCTAGTAAAGGAGACGGTTTTAGTTTCAAATCTTCATGATTTTGGAAAGATATTGGATGTTAGTTTTTCTGCTCATTGGTTTGTGACTTGAGAAAGTGTATCCAGTTTGAAGAGACACTCATGATTTTTGTCAGCACAATGGCTTCCTTATTCAGAGTGATATCCAAGAAATGGATGGATTGTTTGGTAATCCTGGAGATGTACTACTGTTGCAGTGTGCAGCTATAGAGATTATATAGTTTGTAATTTGGCAGATATATGTCTCCTATGCAAACTTCAACTTGATCAGAGGTCTGCACTTCCAGAAAGAAAAACAAAACACAAGTACAAGCTTATAATGAGTTATAATAACATTATGCATTACGACTCTTGCAAAACAGAGGCTTTTCTTTGCTACCATTGCTTAATGTTTCAGCTGCTATGTTAAATCTTCATCTTAATTAACTTATTGTTCATGTAATACCAATTTGGGAATGACATGTGAGAATCATGGGATATTGATTTTAGTGTTCTGGTTACAGTTCTGCTTATGAAGAAGGCAGGTTTTGTGATGTGTACCACCTAAAGTCTTCTGGATGGAGGACCTGTGAGTCATGCGGGAAGGTAAAGACATGGGTCACGGCTTGGATTATTAATGTCAATGTGGTCATTGGTATCAGAAAATCATGTTGGGTTTCCAGATATGAAGTCTCTCACTGATAGCATTCTATGCAGCGGATTCATTGTGGCTGTATTGTTTCTGCATCCGCTTTTATGTTGCTGGATGCTGGAGGAGTTGAATGCTTGGCTTGCACTAGGAGAAAAGCTTCGTTGGTGAGGGTTGCTTTCACTTCTCCATTTTTATTGTATATTTACGATGTGATATACTCCCTATATAAGGTCATATCCTTACGTGCTGCTATATGGAAACTTAGAAAGGTCTTATCCATGAGCGAAAAATCATAGATCAAATTGCCAAATCGGAACAATTGGATACTTTGATAGAACTATGTCTCGGGTAAGTCCACACCAGTTGAAAAGTGTAGGCTATTACACTAGCCATGTTTGTGCCACTAACAATTCCTTTCACAGTTTTCTCCTTTAAGTTGTAATTGTGTTTGACCGAAGAACCGATTTATGATGTTTCAGTAACTCGTGAACCACATTCCTTAAGCTAGCAAACAAACATTTGATGAAAAATCTCTTTATCTATGGTAACGGACTTATATTCCACGTTCTGTGATCCAGGGGCTCAGTTTTTCGCGACCACCACCATCCTTTTTCTTTCAACCCCCAATTGCAGAGAAATTCAAGGACTTGTCTGTCAAAGATTGGAGTTCTTCAGCTGGATCAGGTCAGGTGAACTGCTGTCAGGTCCCAAACTCGTTAGGACCTTGTGTGCTGCAGTTTGATTTTCATAATCATGGAGTTCAACATGCAACCGGTCAGCCTACTTCCAGAGACAGGGCGAGTTCCATGGGGAGACATGAATTGGAAGACTCTTCTGGGAAACACATGAGTGAGAGTTCAAAAATTCACGCAAGCAGCATACTTGAAAATGGGAAAGGTTCAAGCTCTTTTACAAGACATTTGCTGGTACTACCTTTATTGCGATCTCAGCCTGGGTTTTGGCTGCATAATATCGAATTTTAAATTTCAGGAACTAATTGTGAAGATCATCCTAGTCCAGCCATAAATTCATATAAGGTGCTGAACCCTTTGAAGGATGATCCATGTCGTTCGCGGCTTGCTTTCCCTGGGCCAGTTGCAACACCAAATGACACAAATGGTCACATTAGACTCATTGGACCTCATTTATGGCAAACATCTCCACTGAATCACTCGCACAATGACCTGAACAGTGGAGTTGACTCTCCATGTGAAAGCGAGAGTCGGAATATGACGCTTAATGTTGATTCACAACTAAAACATCGGGTGCTTCCACGATACTGGCCTAGGTTTACTAATCAGGATCTGCAAAACCTGTCCACAGAGTATCCTTCTTATCATGAGAGTTACTTCTATATCGGAATAGAAGTTCTGATATTCACAATGTTCAGTGTCTGAGGCATGTTTCTTGGATGTTTCACAGTTTTCGCTACTTGGTATTTTACTTGTAAGACTGCCAAATTCTTTCGTAACTTTTAAGTTACCGAAACCTTAACGATGTATAAGCTCCAAATCTGTTATCACTCCTCTCTTTGAGAAGATGCTGAGTGCAAGTGATGCTGGACGGATTGGGCGGTTGGTGCTGCCAAAGAAATGTGCAGAGGTAGAATAGCTGGTGCTTACAGCCTGACACATTTAAGTATCTTTGCACTATGCAATTATGGACTTCCTTTCGATGTGCAATGGAAGATTCATGTTGTGGAAGATGCTGGGGTTGTAAACTTTGATCTCCAACTCCAATGGGAGATTATGGACTTCCAGTCTGTCACACTTAATTATCATAAGGAGAGTTGGCCTTAACTTGTTATCCTTTGTCAAGATAATAGGTATTGATAGTGTAAATGTTGAATGGTTTTACAGGCTTACTTGCCACAAATTTCTCAGCCTGAAGGTTTGCCTCTCAAAGTACAGGACTCTACTGGAAAAGAATGGATATTCCAATTCCGCTTTTGGCCTAACAATAATAGCAGAATGTATGTTCTGGAAGGAGTAACTGCGTGCATTCAGAATATGCGATTGCAGGCTGGTGATACGGGTATGTAATTGTTATTATAGTAAATTGTGCCTGTGTTCAAAGATATTACATTTGCACTCCCCAAATATTTTTCGTTTTATTTTTATTTGGTTTTTTCTCTCTCGCTGTGTAATACATCTTGGTTGATATCCTTTATCGAGCATATTCTGTTTTCTGCTGATTAATTATATCTATACTGAAGCTCTCTCTAACTCAATCTGAATCTGTTTCCAGTCACATTCAGTCGATTAGATCCAGAAGGGAAGTTAATCATGGGGTTCAGAAAGGCTTCGGTTGCTCAATCATCCGATCAGGTTAAACTTCCTTAATAGAGTTAGATACATTCTGTCTGTAAGTTCTTCTTGGGACAGGTAAAAATATTGTGAATTTACTCGACAACTAAGCTTATTTTTATCCCTCGTTTCTCGCTAAAATGTAGTCAATAGCAAATAACTGCAATATTAAGGAGATTTATCCTTATTTCGGTTACTCGCTAGAATGTAATCAATAACAAATAGACAATCTAATTAGCAGAGACTGCTTTGTTAATTTGTCTTTTTATTTAGGGTTTGTTTTTATAGTGACAAAACGGGTTGGATAAGGACCATTGTTTATCAAGGTTTTTATGAGCAGACTCCAGTTTACGAAATGGGTCAATTCTTATAGGTGCCAGGAACTAGCCTTTACTCTGATATAAGGAGATTAGCTGCAAAAGTAAGTTTCCTATCATATTGGATGGTTTGACAAGGAGCGATTGTACAAGGATTAACTTAAGAAGCAGAAGTTGTGCTGTTTTATGAATTTGCTAGGTCTAAAAGATTTTTTCTTGCATTTTCACCATTTCAGATACTATGAAGGGTTGTTGGTGACTTTGCAAGAAATCTAGTGAAACACCTCCTCCTTAGCTTTGACATTACTTTGATATATTTTTTACATATTTTTCAGCAGAAAATTTGAGCTTAATATTGCATGCACTTAATAACATATTGTTATTTGCCATTTCCTTTTTGTCTTCTGGAAATTATTCAACAAATGTACCTTTGCAGGAAAATGACTCGATTAAGAGCGGGCGTGACACTTGCTCAACTGGAGATGTAATTGTTTCAAATCCAAACAACTGTGGTACATTCTTGCCTATTTAGTTTTTGCGATGAAACATAGGCATAACTTTCTTCTGAACTTCCTGGAGCAGGCTGAACCAGCTGATCCTCGTCCATTGTCAAAAGCTCATAAGTCTGCTTATATCGCAAAAGAAGCTCTGGCAGTAAAATCATCTTCCAGGAAGAAGAAGAAAAGCAGCATGATGATTTTAAAAAGTAAGCGTCGAAGGGTTGAGAAAGAAGATTTCATAGAGCTGAAGTTAACATGGGAAGAAGCTCAAGGATTGCTCCAGCCTCCTCCCAATAGTGCTCCATCTATAATTGTGATAGAGGGTTTTGAGTTTGAGGAGTATGAGGTATGCCCATCTATGGTTTGCTTCATTAATATGGCATCTGTTCTATGATCTATCTATGCCATTCAAACTCTTATTTATTCTTCTTTTTGTTTCTGACTTGGTAGAACTTTTTATAGGCTGACCGGAAAACAAGATAATCTTCTGATATCTAAGCATAACGTACAGTTGATTTATTCATCAGATGTTTTCATTTCAGAGATTGTGTGATCAGGCCTTGTGCTTTATCTTGGCCTAATGAAAATAGATTATACCGATACATTGGGTTTAGATGTCTAAGTAGATGATTATTGAGCTGGGAATAGCAGTTTTCTGAATCTCTAATTCGGGTCAGAGCCCGGTTAGGCATCTGCATTGACCAAAATCCCTTTCGATGTGTTAATGGGGACTAAATTCCTTAGAACACTTAGTAGCGACACTCACTATTTTGATTAACCATTTTATGTTTGCTAATATCGTTAGTCGTATGTTTTATTTTGTTATTGCTTTTCTGAACGTGTCATTTGTTGAGTTCTTTCTTTCTGCTTTTGATGTGTAAAAAAAATAGGATGCACCGATCATTGGGAGGCCAACAGTCTTTGCTACTGATGACACAGGGTAAATTACTAGTTGTCAGTTCTCTCTTTACAAGATTCTGTGATTAGCCCCACCTCTGCTTTTACCGGTTCTTCCTTATTAACAGTTGCCATCAGTTATTTGAAATGGTGAATCTTCTCTTATATGATTTGGATTTCCTTATGATCAATTTCGGAAAGCAAAGCTATACCAGCTGCTTTGTGAAATGTTACTCTTATATTATTTGAGTTTTTTTCTTGTCAACTTACTTTGTAGCCCTCTCACTGTCTTTGAATTTTCTCAAAGTTTCAGGACAGGATGTTCTGCAGCTCAAGAACTGGCATCTGAACAGGTGGATAATATTCACCCGCCGCATAATTCAGGTGACAATGGCATCCGAGGAGAAGAATCGACATTTCGATCTTCTGTTTTCTTTAATTTTGATAAATGTGTTTAATGCAGATTGTTCGAAAGTGTTGAAAGCTTCGAAAGAAGAATCACATGATATGGAGACCATAGAGGAGATTGGTGAAGGGCTTTCAATGTCATCCAAGACGACCACGAGGCATCCAAGGCATAGACCGGGCTGCACTTGCATTGTTTGCATTCAGCCGCCAAGTGGGAAAGGTCCGAAACACGAGCCAGGCTGCACATGTGCTGTCTGCCAGATGGTCAAACGCCGTTTCCGTACTTTGATGCTGCGGCGAGAGAAGAAGCAAACAGAGAAAAAAGACAACAAACGGAAGGAGTCTCTGTTACTGAGTTCCGACGAGGAACTTAACCAATGTCAGGATCATGACGACAAAACGAGAGGGAATTCATCATCAACTCCGCCTTTTAAAGGCCAGATAGATCTGAATACCCAACCAGAGAAAGACGAAGAATCATCTCCACTTGGTTCGGATTCAACTGCTATGAGAAGATTGCCGTGTAATGTAGCCATGGAAGAAGCTTGCTTTGATCAACTGAAACTGTCAAGTGAGTGTAGCCACGGTATCTCAGTCACTAACCAGATTAGCCCGAAAGACGGAGTAAAACCTGTTGCTAATACAGTAGTTTCAGACAGCAACACTGCCTGACTGATTCGCCAACTGTCTTGTTAGTTCAACAAGCTTTTCCTCGAGGTGAATAACTCTTAATTCCATAGGCGTTGGCCCATCTTCAGGTTTGTACATATTATGGAGCTTATCAGTCTGTATTGAAGCGAATTGGATCAGTGTCGGTATCAGGATTGATATTGGTATCATCTTTCTCCGATTATGTTCAATGGAATGTCCAGTTCTCAGTTCATGTTGATGCTTCATCATCGTTTTTTTTATATCTGTTCTCTGAAACAGGTTTTGCAGATTTAACACTATGGTATGAACTCGATGGACAGAAGTAAAGGCAAACATTCGATTTCGACATGAAACCAAGAAGATAACACAGACAAAAACATATCGTTGTTGTTTGTCCAGACATAACTCAAACAAGACAACCGCCAGCTATCAATCAGGAACCGGCATTAGGCAAAGCTGCCATGAACGAGTTGTAGGATGACTCCAGGTCGAAGTGGAGCTGCCGAGCCTGCTGTTCTGTCAACTCATCTGACGCTCCCATCTTCGACAGCCTCGACAACCACTCTTTCATCTTCGTCTTCCCCTCGAAGTCCGGCGGTAAGATGCTAAGCTTATTCAGAGATGTCGAGAGATCAGACAACAATGGATAGACCTGATCCACTGCCACCATGTTCAGTTTCAGAGAATCCATAGCCGTGATGAAGTTCTGGACACACTCTGCAACAATGGCAGCCGAGCTCGAGGCCGAGGCAGATGCAGCAGCCCGGTGTTCCACAGTGGCTGGAACGCCGGATGTCATGAGGCGGTAAAGAGCAGCCGGGCAATCCATCTTGTACATGTCTGAAAACCTTTCGATGTTCGGGACCGTATCCTTGAGCGTGGCGGATAGAGTCTTGAAGTGGGCGATGAGTTTCTGGCACTCAGTTTCGTACTCGGCTGGAGAGACGAGGTCGCGGATGTAGGCCTTCTCGAGCTTTTCCGTGGCTTTGATAATGGCGTACAACTCGGCGAAGTTATCGTACATTTCTCTCTCGCGCTTGTCGTTCCATAGTTTCACTTCCATCTTGTAGCGAAACTGTGAATCAATGGAGGAGGAAGGGACTGGAGAAGAGAACGGGACACGCGCAAGGAGACGAAGCTGATTTCTTGACTGCATCAAAAGATCATTCAGACAAAAGTTATGAACTTCCTAAAAGCTGGGAACCAGACACAATGAGCTCCAACAAGATTGGAGGGGAAAAAACATGAACTTTCCAGATTTCAAGTGATTCTTACTTCCTCTAAGCCTCATAATTTTCGATCGACGGAAACGGGTTTTGATTTCAACCGGAGAACAAAACCAAAAACAAGCCGGAAATTTTCGATCTATAATCTCGAATGACATGAGATGAGTATGGGCGCCAAACTATGAACAGATCGATTCGAACGAAGCTCAAAGCAAACGAAACGAAACGAGAAGAAGCGACAGAAGAAATGATAATGGTTTAGAGATCGAAACCCTAAATCACATGTAGTAACCCAAAAACACGAAAAACCCCGAAAAATTCTTCGTATAGAGATCGAAAGCCACACATTAGGGAGGAGATTAAGATGAAGAAGGGTTGGGTTACTCACGAGAAGCAAGGACGCCTGCTTTGGTTGCAGTGAAAGTCTCCCAGAGGATTAGAGAAGAAAATGAGAGAGAGAGAGAGAGATGAATTTGCGTGCGGGGACACGTTTCCTTATTTCCGCTGACGAAAGCTTCACGCGTCAAAGCGAAATCGAAATCCGATCAAGAACACGAGGAGCGACGAATCGAGACGCTGTGTACAGAAATCGATTCAAGCCATTATAATCGATTAAGACCATCGATTAGGCAAAAAGATTGGTTCGTGTTTTATACTCTAAACCCTAAACCAGGACTAAAACCAATACAATCTCTGCGAATGACAACAAAGGAAAAGAATTTGAAGGGGAAAAAGCTGACCTGAGAAGTTGACGGGGAAGAGGAGAGAACAATGAATGGGTCATGGAGAATGGCATGAGCAGAGAGGCCGCCATTAATGTTCTGCTCAGAAGCTTTGGGTCCCACGGAAAGAGAATCCTTTCTGCGTGTTGCAGTTGCAATGCTCAGAAGCGCCCTGAGCCTTTTCGCACGTCTTACCAAATCTTTTGATGTTGAAGTTAAAAACAAAATAAAAAATAATCGAAGCACCATTCAGATTTATAACCGCCGACGACTTCCACCCCAACCGCTGCGTCTAACGTTTGCGTTTAGAGTTTAATACAGTCGTCTGAAAATAAAACTGGTTGGATCCTATCGTACCGGTTGTATTATATCGGTTTAGTTCCTTGTTTTTTTTTTTAAAAGCAAATTTCACTTGAATTTTTCGAAATTGTATCCAAAACGCCACTCTGATTTAACACGTAGCAACTTTCACCCCAACCGCCGCTGCGTCTAGCGTTTAGCGTCTGTTAGTATATGGACATTTATATATTTCTATATTTATAAATATGTCAATATACGAATATTTTGTATATGTGGTAACAGTGGTATAAGGATAAAACGGAGCTGAAAATTCGCGGGAGAATGACGTAATATCTCATGCCCCGGCGAGTACCGTTCTTGAGAGAACGATGCCGTACGTAAAATTGCACCGTCAAAGCCACCATTTTCGGCATTTCTCTACTCTTAATTCGTTATGGATAATGTAAAATCCGATACGAAACATATTCAGACAAGAAGCAACTCAACTGATGGGAGATGCGTTTCAAAACTAAAACAGCATCAAGACTTCCTGTCCGAAAAAATCATCACAGAACAAGGGTCTCTCGTCTTCTTCTTCTTCCGGTTTATATCAATTTCGACGGTTTCCCCACGTGAGTCCCTACATTCGCATGAAAGAATGGCTGATCTGATCTGTTCTCACGATCTTGGAATATATGCTCCCTCCCCAAACTTGAGGTTCGAACTCGGGACAGGACAAACGCTTTGACCCCCGTTTCACCGGTTGAACCACCCAATCTTGGTTCTTTTCCACGACCTTGGTAGTTTAGTGTTTGTTCCGCGTGTCTTGTTTGATTACGCGATATCGAAACGTGTTAAACGTGGCGGAAATTTAAAAAAGAAAACAGACGGATGCCATTATAGCTATTATTGGAATTTTAGTCTGAGTTACATTAATAAACTCATGAATCTTCTTCTTTTCTTCAGATCAGTTGTAATGTTTCAGAATTCTTGTCCTCACAGACAGAGGAATTCTGACATCGTGAACTCCATCTGTCCAAGTAAGGCTTCCAAACAAGTAACCAGTGTTCACTTCATGCCTCGTCGAAATCTTCACCACAAACGTAACTCTCTTGTTCCTCGAATCGAAGACCAGTTTCTTCGGAGTCGCCTCGACGTTTATGCCGAGAGGAGGCTCGATCACAGCTTCATACACAGAGTTCACCGGTCCGACGTTCGTTACCGTTCTTCTGACAAGAACCTCGTCCTTGATGTCGGGAATCGTGATCGAGGGCAAGTTCACGTCGAGAATCGATGGTTTCCGATCAGTTGGGCAAGTCACTGTTTCCCCAACGACATTAGAGATCGATGAATCGTTGTAACCCGTGGAACACAAGTAATGAACGTAATCCGACATGAACATGTCGTAGACAAGGCCGGGTTTCGCAGCTTTCTCTGGATTCACCAGTCCTCCTCCATAGTCGAACGGGTCAGCAAGCTTCTTAGACGATCCTTCTGCAAAGATCGGCTCGCCTGAAGGGCTGGTCCTCCAAGCTTCAAGACCAAGATCTCGCGACAATGAGAGAAAAAGCCGATTTTCAGGACGAAATGGAAAAGGCGATTTCGAGTTCGACTAACCTGTCGTGACCATGGCCGATCGGATGGCTGCAGGGGACCAACGAGGGTGTAGAGCTTTGAGGAGAGCAGCGATTCCCGATATTACAGGGGTCGACATTGATGTGCCTGTTTCCATGCCGAATCCGTTATCGGCTTTGTCATTGTCTGGGCTAAGAGCTGATAGAATTCCGACACCAGGGGCCGCTATATCGGGCTGTGTTACTTGCACAAGAAGCAATCTCTCGGTTACTCCAAAGGGTTTAAAAGAAAGATCGGAAAGACGAAAAAGGTTGAAGCTTTACCTTGAGAATGGCCGGGGAGATCGAATTAGGTCCTCTACACGAAAATGCAGCGACCTTAGTAGTCGCAGGTCGTCCGACAAGTGTTTTGGACGGGCTTATTCTTACTGTCGGTGATCTGTTCGCCAGAAAAACCTGTCAGATTCCAACCATAACCGCTGCTAACACGAGAAACATCGGTAGAGATACCTGGCTGAACGTATGTAGAATAAAATATCGGTTCCGAGTTCGTAATCTACGAAGATGCAGGGGAAATCAGCTGGACATTGAGTGAGAACGTCATTGGCCATCTGCGCTAGAATAAGGCCAGAGGCACCGCCCAGTCTTGCCAAAGGAATGAGATTTTTCGTGTCCTCGGTATCGAATATCAGCGCCATTTTCCCTTTTACGTCGACCTTTCTATCCTCTGCATCTGCAATATGAATCAGACCAGCCGAAAATTCCCGTCCTGTGTGTAGAGCTTCTCCCTGAAACAGACAAGAAGAAACCTAAGACGTCTGAAATCGAAGCTGTTGTAGTGAAAGAACAGACATGGTTACATACAAAGATCGTCTGGTTGTTCCCGAGAGCAATGGCCGTAGGAAACGACCGGTCAAGAGTGGTTGCAGCCACTGTCAAGACCCATGGAGCGACATTAACCACCGTCTGAGCGTTCGGCCCATCGTTTCCAGCCGCACACACGACAGGAA